CGAGACAACTTGGCGGCAGGGAGGCAACTTGTGTTTGCCATCACCTGATCGCCTGTTAATGAACCGCAGGCTGGGGCAGTGCTGGGCCCCCATGAGGGTCTCCGTCCCTCTTGCAACAAGCCAGCGAGGGACCCTCCTTTCAGCGCCCAAATTAGCCCCCGCTGCCTGCCCACACCAGCAGCCCTCGGCCCTGGTGAAGCCCTCGCAGCTCCGAGCCCCAGTGTCAGGGCTGCAGGCGAAGGAGAGGTGCAAGAAACCCGTGCGCCCAATGCCCCCCGAGCGGGAGATGGCAGCAGGGGCTGGGTCCGGCAGCCCCTCGCCCGCTGCCGTGCTGTGACGGGGCTTTGTGTTGCCATGACTGATGGGGCGAAGCGCCTTTCATCCACCACCCCCAGGGGTGCTGGGACAGCAGGAGAAGTTGAACGACTAATCTGGGAAAAGCTTTTGCCTCCCCCAGGAGCCGGCGCAGCAGCCGGAGTGTGAAGGAGCCTCCCACTGCCTGTGCAGTGTGGGGTGGCGGGGGTCCCGCTGTGGGGTGCTGGAAGGCAGGCGTGCCCCTGCCTGGGCACTGTGTGCCTTCTCTGATGGTGATGGTGCCAGGGCATGGACCCTGCCTGGCCCACACCGCTGCGGGGGGGTCGCCGCCTCATGGGCTCCCCAGCTACTGGAGGAGAGTTTGGTTGGGCAGGTAAAAGGGCTGTGACCTGGGTCAGGCGAGTCAATATTGGCTGTGGGACAGGCTCCAAAGTGCAGCCGGGGCAGCTGGGCAGAGCCGTGGGGCAGGGGCTGTCCCCCTGTGCTGGGGTACATCCTGTACACCAGACCCCCCCCCCGCCCGCCCCAGGCAGGCAGCCCCACAGCGCTGAGCCCTGAGCCAGCTCGGTGCACCTTTGGCTTGCACTCGCAGACATGTGGCATGGTGATGGCGCTGGGGCCAGTGTGTCTCTGGGCTCACAGTGCCTGGCGGGGACAGCCTGCCCTCGAGCACCCCGGCACTTGCCAAGGAACTCGCTGCCTCTGGAGCACTCACCCCGAGAGCTGGCACAGGCAGGACCAGTGTTTGGGCAGTGGTGGGGCTGCTGCCACCCAACCACCTCAGGCTCTTGGCCCTCTTGGCAGGCACTGGGAGCGACAGCTTTTCCACAGAGCCTGCCCCAAAGCAGAGCTGCCCCGTGGAAGGGCTCTGTGCCGGGGACACCGGCTGTCTCCTTGTCACAGCCACCTTCAACCTTGTGCCAGGAAGGCTCAGCCTTCCTCTGCATCCCCTCCCAGATCATCCCTGCATTCCCTCGCTGTCCAGGCAGCCCAGCAGCTGCCTGCAGCACGGGGGGGGGGGCTCCAGAAGCCCTTCTGTGAGGGTCAAGCAGAGCTCAGGGGCAGGCCCCTAGCCTGGGCACTGCTGCCATGGCCACCCGTCACCAGGGCCAGCAGAGGCTGAGCCATGAGAGCGGGCTCAGTACACCCCAAGGTCCTGGTCCAGCTAAGCATGGAGAAGTTGAGCCTAGTGACCCCTCGCAGACCCTGAGGTGTGGACGTTATCCCCCTTGCAAGGAAGGACCCTCCCTCCAGGTTTTGAGTAGCAGAAGGAAAGTCACTGTGCTCTGGCAATGCGCAAAAAATCCTGAGATACACAGACTATCAATTGGTTAATATTAATGATTAAGCCTTGAGGAAGCCAAGAAGGGACCAAGCTCAAGGCCCACTGCAGCCCCATGGCCTCAGCTGGAACTCCAGAGGCGAGGGGTGCCCCGCTGGGGGTGGCACAGCCCAGCTTCGGGAGGCAGCGGCCCACCAGCCCCGCGCACTCGCCTGCCAGTGTGGGGACAGCTATTTATAGCCCCTGCCCAGGACACTAATGCCATGCAGGGGCTGCTATAAAAAGCAAGTCTCCAAAAAGGTCTCGGAGCAGATGCTGGTGTGAGGTCTCCAGGCAGAAAGGGCTGAGCTTGGGTCACGCTCTGATTCACCCAGATCCTGGTGCAGGCCCAGCAAGACAAACCACGTCCTATGGAGAGGGGATGGGGCTTCTCTGGGAAAGCAGCATCTCTCCACTCTCAAACCCATCAGGGAGTTTCCTCTGCCCAGCAGAGCTGGACCTGGCTCCTCAGCAGGGAAGATGATGAAGACACCCAGGAAACTATCACCCTCCCAGCAGCACAGCAGGCAACTGTGGGCAAAATTTGGGCAGCACATTGGCAGCTACCCCTTGGGCTGCTAGAGAGCAGGGTGGGGTGCTGGGAGCAGTGCTTTCACAGACAGGGACAATGGCCCTTGCTAGTCTGAGCTGGCTGCGGTTACAAAACACATCAACACCACGGGGGAGGCAGTTCTGATGGCCATCCAGGCAGGCAACGCTGGGGTGAAAGAGCAGACATTTCAACTGCCCCCTCACCCCCTTGTGTTCACCTCAGGAGAGCTGCTCTGGCAGAAGTACACGTGTCACACTGGCAGCCTGCAGGGGACAAGGGACTGGACTGCGAGCCCTGCTCGAGGCAGCTCCCACAGGCTGGTGAATTCACCCTGCGCAGGGGCCAGAGGGGCAGAGCCCCGTCCCTCACGCTGGGGAGGCTGATGAGCAAGGCCAGCTCCGAGCACGCCCAGCTCCAGAAGGGGAGGGTGTGAGGGCAGCCTGGCCACAGAGGGGAGTCGGGGCACAGCCCAGGGCTGCTGTAACCACACCTGAGCGGGAGGCCTAGGAGACAGTTGGTCAGTTGTGAGCTGACCTGACCCAGACTCACTGCCCCCTCAATCCCTCCCTCCATTCTCCCTCCGGACAGGAGCAGCACCATGTCTGATGGGGGCTCTGGGGAAGGCAGAGAAGAGATGAGGACAAGGCACCCCTAAAGGACACACTGCAAACCATTTTACAAACACAAGTACATAATGTTTATTTTTAAGTTTTCAATTTATTACAAGTACAGCCCTTAGCAGAAACCCCCTCCCCCCCAAATGACATTTATTTTTTTTAAAAAACTGTACAGTTCCATGTAGGACCTGCAGAAAACATTCTCTATGAACGGGACAAAACAAAGCCTCTGAAGGGGACGTGCGAAATACAAACGTCAGTGCTATTCTGTGGGGCAGAGAGCTGAGGCTGGGGAGAGGGGAAGAGAGAAGTGGCTGGAAACCTGCCTAGTCTCCACAGCCATTGACAGTCCAGAACTGAAACAAATACCTGTTAAAAAAAAAAACAACTAAAAAAAATCAGAAAACTAGGCTGCAGTTTTTAATGGCTGATTCTTTTCTTCCCAAATCACAGCTGCAACAGCTGCTTTTGCTTTTCTGTTACCAGTATAGAGCAGCCCTGGTTGTTCCAAATTGAAGACTTCTATAATAAAAAGTTTGAGCTCTGATTGTATGATCAAAACTTCTCATGATGGAAAGAGAGAGAGAGAGAGAGAGAGAGAGGTGATAAAAAAACACACCCTTTTCTTAGAGAAAAGTAAGTATCTTGGGCAGCAGGACCCACTGCTGGGGCTGTAGCAGAGCAGCCTCCCACAGCAGGATTGGGATGGTCCTTGCTGCATGGGGGGAGTGCGAGGGAGGTGAGCTAGGGTATGTGTTACTATAAAACGTGGTGAGAGCACGGCTAGAGAGGGACTGGGAGACCCCTGCCAACAAGTCCCTCAGTGTAACTCCAGCTACTGGTAGGAAAATGAATTTTAAACAGGGGGAAAATATAAAGCAAACACGAGTCCATATAAACTGTACATGTGCCAAAGCAAGACAACTGTATCTTACAGGTGTTCTTTGTACAAGATCACAGCTAGAAACAAGCCACTTTCAACTAGAAAATTAATTTAAAAAGTTACACAGAACATGTTTCTGCTGCTCTCCTTGCCCTGGAGCTCCCTACAGGGCACACAGAAAACCATGCTCTCCAGTATGCTTCTGGCACTCAGTTCATCCAAAGGGCTACATCGTTGTGTGCTGTTCAAGGTGAGCAGGGAAGCCAACTGCCTCCTCTTTGCTGTGTATGTGTGAAGAGCTGAGCTCAGAAGAACCCTCTTCAGAACGCAACCTCTAGAGATCGCTCCCCGAGGAGAGAGGAGAAGAGCAAGAGCACCTCAAAGCCAATTGTGTTAGGATGCTGGTGAAAGCTTTATCTCCATAAATGTAAGTGCTTGCTTGCCCTGTACAGCCCTTCATTGGGGGCTCAAAATTAACACCATATAAATATATACATACAAGAACTAGCAGCCCATTGGCCTGATCGCACCCCGTCCTTCCGTGCCGCAATATGATCCCTCCCTGCACCAGCTCAAGGCTGGTTTCACATCACAGGCAGCAGAAAGCGGAGGTCCCACCGTGCTCCAGCACTGGCTGTTCGCAGAGGGGGAGGAAGCGGCTCATCCCAAGGAAGCCAACAGCACCCGAGCTGGAGTAGGCTTCATGCTCCCCTGCCCAGCCAGGCTTTGGCCAGGCCTTCCCCTTGCCCTCCCACCAGGACAGACCCGTTCAAGAGCTTTGTGGATTCTGCAGGAAGTCATCTCTGCTCAGTCAAAGGATGACCAAATTCTTGAGAAAATTGCAGAAAAATTAAAACTAGGACAGGCCAAAGGGAAGGCTAGATTAATAGAGGAAGTGCCTGATGCTTCCCAATTCCCTCCAGACAACCTGTCCTGGGCCCGGCAGCACCAGAAGGCCTGCTCCAGCTCTGGCTCTCCCCCTAGTCTCTCCATCCCTCATTTCTTCCTTTTCCGCCCCCGGGAATGTTCAAGGGGCTCTGACTCACTGTCCCCTTCCTGCTCCTCCAGTCCCTGACACCTGGCAGAGAGCATCCTGCGTTTCCTGCGTGCATACGTGTGGCCAGGCAGGTGTTTGTGCACCATGTCAATAAAACACTGTTCTGTCTTCTCCAGGCAGGATAGTACGTGACTCCCATTCTGGTTGTAGCGCTCGGCGTTGGAGAACACCTGCTTGATGTCAGAGAGGAACTCCTGCACCGAGCGGTAATTGCCACAAGAGCACTTGCTCTGCATAGTCTGGAAGTCCATAGGGTTGCTGATGACCTCAAAGTAATCTTCAGCTTCCTCCGTGGTCACTGGCTCCCTGCCGAACAGAGAGCCACAAAGATAGGAGGAAAAGGACAGCCCCGGCTGCACCAGCGCAGAGCTGCAGGGGAGCAAGAATCTCCTCCACCCCCCTTGCTTGAGCAGCAGCCCCAACCCGCACCCCTGAGCTCTCGTAACGAGCCCAGGCAGCACCTCGACAGCCTGACAGACACATCAGCCCCATGGTGGCCATGCCACCATGATGGGAGGGACAGCAGCTTGTCCTTCTGCCCAGACAGCTGGTCCAGGCAGGGGGACAGGCACGTGGCAGCTACAGCTGCCTTCCCTCCGTGACACTGCCTAGACTATGCCCTGAAAATCTTGGGGGCTGCAGAAATCACCCCCCCCAGCCTCCCCTCCTTGGCCCACGGCCTACCACCCTCTGTTACACCACCTCAGAAGGACCTCAGGTCTCCAGCCCAACAGAGGACTGGAACAATGTGGTGGTTTCTTCCAGAGCTCCACTCCCTTTCTTCTTCCCTGTAACTTCCTTCCAACACCCCGGTCTTGCGGCCAGTGAGCGGGTCGGGCAGGACTGCAGCACGGCCAGCCCACACCAACACGTGGCCTGCGGCAGCCCCATGCTGCAGCACAGGAGCCACCTGCCCTCACCTGAAGGGCCAGCTAAAGCGGTACTTGATCAGCTTGCTGAGGATTTCCTCACACTTCTGCAACTCGAGGTTTTGGCGACGTGCTGTCTTCTTTGTTTGAAGGACCTGCCCACAGAAAGGATGCTGTTAAAAGGACGGAACCACTCCAGGCTTCAGTGTTCACCAAACGGTTTTGAGGCCAAGGAAGTTGGTTCTTAGCAAAGCTTTTCTTTTTAATCCTCTTGCTTACACACTTGAGTCTCAATGGTTGGGGATGTGTAGTGCTGTTGCAGAAACAAAGTTCAAGTCTTTCAAATACAGCCATCTTCCACAATAATCAAAAGGCAAACTGCTCTGCTGCAGGACCTTTGATGGTAACAGCCAAGACATGCAGTGGCAGCTTGAGTTACAGAATGGAAGCCCCATGCAGAAGCACTGGTGGGAATAGCTCACAAACAGCCTGTCTTTTCTCTGGGGACAGCGAGCTTTTTCAAGATACGCTCAAAGGCAACATGGTCAAACAATCAGCCAAAGAACAAGTGACAGCAAGTGGAGAGCATAAATCCCCGCTCCCTGCCTTCTCTGGCAGACAGCATGCAAGAGGCAGAGGGAGAAAGTACTTGTGCTGCTGCACTGACGCTGCAGAGCCAACCCTGCCATTTTAAATACCAAGGAGCAGCTGATGCCTCAAGCCCTGCTGTCCCATGCCCAGGATGAACACAAGGTCAGCCATTTGCCTAGGGATCCGCAGCAGGTCGGCCCCCAGCACAGGCCTGGCCCCTCCGCTCTGAGCGCCCAGCCCGTGGGGCATCGCTGCTCAGGGTACGTCAGATGACAGGAAGGTTCCACAACACAGGGTGCTATTCCTGACCCAGCTTCAGTCTCTTCCCAGGACAAAGGGTAAGCGAAAGAGCCCTAGCAGAGCCCTCTTGCCCACATTTTTGTCAGAGACCCTGACCCAGTCACTCCAGTAAGATTTTACCCATTTGAATGCTCCTCTAAGCCAGCTGTGGCAGCCCATGCTGGGCTTGCTGGTTTGGTTGCACTCCAGTCTGTAACAGGCCAGCTACAAGGACACTGCAGATCCACTAGCCAAGCCCACCCACACCCAGCATACGAATTAGTGAGCCCAAAGACCATGATCAAGACCCCTCAAGAAGAGCAACAGGATACACCAGCACTCCTAGTGCTGGCTGGTGGACAGATGGCAGATCCAGCAAAGGCCTGTGACATGGCCCATGGGGCTGAAGTATCCTCACGTATCCCCTGCGGTGTGTCCCTCCCCAGCACAAACAGCACAGCACACTGCAGCTTCACCCTGCCTAGCATGCACGCATGCATAAGATTGCTCTGTTCAGAAGCATATGGTTTTATTCTTTAAATGTCAAGTGAAACCTAAACCGGTCAAATTATGTCCTGGAGGTTGGGGAGTGACCATATGGACAACAACTGTCAGAAAATGGCCAAGGCTAGGGAGCAAGGGTCCAGCATTGCTGGCATTCTCTGATCATCCACGACCCCCTCAGTCCCCCCACCTCTCTGCAGAGACATATGGATACTATTTAAAACCCTTTAACAAGCTGCAGGCTGCCTGCTACTCAAGGGGGACAATGTGTGAAAGCGGCTGGGGAAAGATGCCTGGCATATCTGTGCTCCGTTTGTACTGGGCCCTTAAGGATATGCCTCCTTTGTTAACCCACCCCCAGCCCAGGCTGCTTTTCACAATATGATTCAGGGTATTTCTTTGGGAAGGGGAGGAAGCGTGACACCTGTTTTGTTTATAACTCATGATGTGAGCAGCCTCGGGGGAGCAATTTGGCTCTTACCAGCTCATCAATGTCTGCGCCGTTGACAGGTGCAGCCCGCTGCCGGGGTCCCCTGGCAGGGTGTAGAGACTGCTTCTTCCTTTGGTGCCTTCCCTGCCTCAAGGAGTACATGGCTGTGCTCTCCTTGCCCCGAGCTGCCTTTCTGGGTCTCACTGAAACATATAAGCCATAGGCTTAGAGGAATGGGTTAACCTGAAAGCAGATATCACAAGGCCTCTGCCCAGCCACACACACCAGGCAGAGCCTTGCTCACAGCACAGAGGCGATAGTGAACCCACAGACATCTGCAACACGGCAGGTTCCTGTCAGCCCACCCTCACCCAACACACACTTGTGTCAGCAATGCTTTTGAGACCCTCTCCAGATGAGATCGTCACCTCCTGTCCAAAGGGAGGCCACTGCCGCCTGGCAACAGCCTCCTGCTAAGGGTGGTCACACACGCCAGCACTGTCAGACCCTTGAGCTCCGAGGGAGCCCTGGGAGCTTCCAGCTCCTCTGCCACAGGTACAGCTTGCCCAGGGCCGTACCAGCAAGCCTCTGGCCTGCAGAACCAAGTGCTGAGACCCTGATGCCTCGAGACTCGAGGGAGGGCAGGGGAAGCAGTGCAACGACAGATAGTTGTCTCAAATGTAACTGCAACATCCCTTCTGAAAGCACTGGGAGCAGAAACTTGCAGTTTTTCCCCGGCTTCCTGCTGCCCCCTTGCTCCTCACCAGTTTGGGGACGGGTGCTTTTCCAAGCATTTACAAGTGGCCCACACAGTGGGATAAGCCAGTTGCTAAGCCCCCCTGAAAAGTGAACTGAGTGCAGGGGGAGTGTCGAGTTACTGCAGCCAGGAGCTGCTCCACATGCTGCAAGTGGGAAACAACAGGATTTTATTCCCCAAGATGGGGGCTGCTGCATTATATCCCAAAGAAAGGCGTTTGCCTGTTTGTTGGTCTGCCTGTCAGAGCCTCACGCTGATGGAAATACAAGCGTGTGGACACACTCCCTTGTCTTAAGTTTCTCCCATGACCCCTCTGTATCAGGAGAGTGTGCTGGTCGTCTTCCCCAGCCAAGCTCCTTCCACCTGGTCACAAGTGCGTGAGCAAACTGTATCCAGCACACTGGAGCACTTCATCTGCAGCCTCTAATCCAGCCCTGTCCAATAAATCATCTTGCCGGGCCCCCACACAAGGAGCGTGTGTCGGGGCAGTGGGACGTCTGCCTGCTGTTGCTCTGCTTGTGTGTCAAGCGTGCAGCACGTGTTAGATGTCTGACAGTCCAACATTCTAGGTTATATCCCTCAGGATAAATGCCACGAGGATTAAAGGGACTTCTCTATTAAAACAAAAGTTTTCCACAGTGACCTTTCCATGTTAATGCTCTTTAAAACCAGGAGTTGCATTTAGCGCTTTATTTTTAGTGACTGTAACCCTCTTTTGCTATTGTTTGGAAACCTTGGCTCTGCTCCTGACTTGGCCATGCAACACAGGCTGAACACACTCCAAGTGTGGACATGGATACACCGCAGAACAACAAGCAGTGTACGTAGCCAGGGTATCAGTGAACATCCCTGAAACCAGAATAAAGCAGGGGAATCAAGAGTGATAGACCTGGATGGAAACCCTTGAAAGAACACAGGATAATCCTTTGGGTCCCAGGCTCTGGATTCCAAAACAACCTGAAGTCAATTTTGTCCATCAAGGGCATTTTGACAGAAAGCAAATGTTGGCAGCATGTCATTTGAAGACTGATCTTTTCAGTGCATCAAGTTGCCCAAATGAGACCAAGTCAAATTCCTCTAAAAGCAGAGTGGATACACATACTAAAAAGTGGTTAAATGGAGAAGCAGTCATTGAGGAGTCCAGAAAATGCTCTTATTCCACTCAGCTGCCCAGAAATGAGCCAGTTATACATCCTGAGTGGTCTCTGCATGCAACCAACAGGTGCTGGCATCCAGGCCACACTCCACCTCGAGTAGTGCGCCTCCCCACAGGAACGGGCAGAGAAGTGCTCGTCCTACTATCTGAAAATGCCTCCCTGCCAAATCACTAAATCCTGCACTTAAGAGGTTATGAGTTAGTGGGATGGGGAAGATCAAGGAGCAGGGGTTGTGGTTAAAGCTCCAGAAGCATCTATTAACAGCATTCAGCAAACCCTGAAGGCGCAGGCCACCAGTCCCAGTAATGGGTACTGCTGCTGCCTCACCCTGCCCCGTGCCTTGCAGCAGCCCCCAGGCTCTCAGCAGAGTCCCCCGGGGTGGGGACTGGGCAGTGAGTGAGAAGTCCCCACAGCCTCAGCCTTTGCTAGCGCTGACCTGATCACAGAGGGACAGGAGCCCCCCCCAGCTCCCCAGGCAGTGTACAGCACACCCACAGCCCTCCCCTGTGACATCTCCCGCTGTCTCCAAGTAAGAACCTGTTCTGTGTGAGGAAAAGCCTGAGTCCAAGATAGGATCAGTACTTCGGACACAAAAGGCACAGTCTTAATGTTTTCTGTTACTGCATGGACAAAGCCTTACATTTCAGTCCAGCAACTTCATAGTCTTCCTCCTCCTCCTCTTCCTCCTCAGCATCTGGTTCATCAGAGGCTTCCTCATCTTCACCATCTTCATCTTCAGCAGAATCCTCTGCATAGTTCCTAGAGTAAGGCAGGGACACACATTTGTTGTACCAGAGCCTCGGCATAAGAGGCCCTGGGCCCTCTGTACTACGTTCACAGGCAGGGACTTGCTGACCACCTCGGTGTAAAATAAACACCCAGTCTCAGACTGAAGCAGCTACTGTATTTCAAAGAGTATCAAGTTGTAGCTACAGCTAAAAGGGCACTTCCCAGGCCATCCTCTTAACATCTGGGCAGAAAATCCCCAACAGTCGAATATGTATACTTTTTGCTTTTCTAAGCACCTTGACCATGTTGATAATGGATTTTAAGACTGTGATTACAGTGCAATTACTCCTCCCCAAGAGAATGTGCTGCTGTTTTACCCAGGTCTGCAGGCCTGGCCTAAGGAGTTTCAAAAGGGTTTTTTTTTTGTTTCTGCTGGAATATTTTCCCCTTGTCTCCTTCCATTGTCATGACACTTGCACGTGCACTATAGGAAACAAACCTCGTATAGTATTATTCACAGGTAAGTGTGGATTTGTTAGTGAGCAAGTGTCAGACTTCTCATCTGCTTATGTCAGAAGCCATGGCAACTCCCTGCCAAGGACAGCTCCAACTTCTTGCATGTATCTGTTAAAGCATTCAAACCTTACAAAACTGGGAAGACAAAACGGCATGCATAAACAAAAGGGGACAAAGGCAAGGCTGTTGTGGGAGTCTCAAATCACTGGAGAAAGAGGATCTTGAGCATTAAAAGGAGTAAGAATAAGCTCCCACAATGGGGGGAGGACTGCTCCCAGGCTGACATTTTTTTCCTGCCTCAACTAGGAAGAGGAGAGCAGCAAGCAGATAACAAGACAGGTGTTACCCACCTGATGGCTCTCATCCAGGAGCCAAACAGCTTGCAGGTGACTGTGCCACATCAAAGTAACTATGATCTCAGGCTAGAACAGCTGCACTGAAGCCCTGTCATTTCTGCACAAGCCTGATGAGCCCTTAAATGGTGCCCAGGGAGTAAGCAATACTTTTAAGGCCATACACCACCTGCACATTACAGACTAGTACACCTCTTATTGTGCTGCTGCTCTGGAAGGGAGCTTATGCTTCAGATGTCATTTGATAGCCTTACCTTGTGAGAAGCAGGTAGATGCAGCACAGTCACAGTCAGCAGAGGACATACGTTACAAACAGAAAAAATGCACCTCACATACATTTAACTTCCAGCTTGCAATTCAAAAAACAATTCAACCTCTTGCTGTCAGGAGGCAACTACTAATTTCTGCTGCATAGAACAACTTTGATTCTTCCTCAAATCATGTTCCCTCTGTAGCTCTGTAAGGGCTCTTGCCTTATTAAGGTTTATCAGGTCCAGAAAATGATCAGAGTGGCATTTTGTAGCCTGATTTTCAGTAGCAAAGTAGGGGCTGAGCTGGAGTGATGTCTGCTCTAACTTGACAAGAACACAGCAGTAAGAGCCCAGTGGACTACAGAGCTGCAGTGGTACCAACTATACTCCCATGAAACCAGCAAGTAGTTACTCAGCCAAAGGAAATAACAGCCCTTAGCACACAGGACTTGGATTGATGTTTATACATGTTTTCACTGCCAAACAGAAGTTATTTATTAAAACTCCTGTAGTTGTCATGGGTCAGTATAACACAGGTCTGCTGAAGTTACAGCCTGAAAGAATTGCTTTTCTATTGTTCCAGTGCCTTTGAGTTAACTAGGCTATTTCAAATCTTTTAGAGGAGCTGTTTTGGTCATCTTGTGGAAGCATGGCTAGAATTGTGCCTCAGTAGTAACGCAAAGGAAAGGAAGGTCACTCACCTGCCTCGTGAGCTGCGCCTGGCAGTCGACGGCTGACATGCTGGGCACTGCCATTCACCATCTGGTATCTCATAGAGCACCGGTCTCAGACAAAACAGGTGGAAGGCTTTGTTACACTCGTCACACAGGATCAGCTTGTCATCCTCACCTAGGAGAGTGCAGCTTACTTGTAACAAGTGCTGCAGCCTCTCTCAACCTGAGAAGCAGAAGCTGCTGCAGCGCTGGAGGTCAGGACAAAGCAATAGAAAGATGCAAAGTACCCTCTGATGGCAGGGACCCCTCTCAGTTCCATCACTGCAGTGGAAACCAGCAGCATTGAAACACAAATAAAACAATGCAAAGTCCCTTGCCTTGCAAAGATTTCATTTGAGGCAAAGGTAGAAACCTGCCAAATAGGTTCCACCCAGACTAAATCTCAAGTCAAATACAGGGAAAGAGAAATTCACTGCAAAGATGCCCAAGAGCCTAGCAAAAAACTAGAAACACAGCTGTTACTGTAGCCTTAATCTGGTCAATCTGCACAGCATCCTCTACTTAAGGTAGCAAGCCTACAAAGAAAATCAGTATGCAGCAGAACTAGCCTCTGTGCCTCTCACTGATACAGGGAAACTGGGAGACAGTCCTGAGCTAGCTATTTCATTTACTGAAAGGGAAAAAAAAAAGTGCAGAGAGCTTGCCAGCATGTCTCTTTCTTTAACATCCCAGTTCTTAAATTCTGTGAAACTATAATCTACTAGTCTCAGGTGAGCCCCCTCTCACATCTGCCTAGAATCCCCTCTCAACAGCAGACAGGACAGATTTTGCATTGGTTTGAAATATCCCTGAGGCTCCACAGTGAAGGAGGATGTTGCACCAATTCAGCCGTTATTTCTTTGAAGAGGTGGATGGCATAGCCTTTTGGTAAACAAAAGTGGGCCAGCATTCCCCTAGAGGTCTGTCTGCCCTCATTTCCCACTAGTGTTTCAGCAAATAGAGACAAAAAGCACATGATGAGGCAGAATGTACTACCAAGCTCTTTCCTCCAGGCTTCCATCCAAAAGGAGAGGTTATGGCAGAACAAATACTAAAATGCTAGTAGTCTGACACTGGTGACACCCTTTTTACTTCCCCCTCCACCTGCAGGACTCTAAAGTCCTTCATTCTACAGTGCATACAGGGAAGGGAGCCCCTTGTCACCTATTTGGTTACCTTCACAGCCTTATCAGCAGGCAAGGCTTCAAGCTCATCGATCAGTTTACTCCCACTCTAGCCTCAAAGTATCATCATCCCACCTCACTCTCTCCCATTCAGCTACAAAGGGTAACAGCCTCCCCAGCCTCTCCTTGCTCTTTCCTTCTGCAAAAAATGGGATTAATTGACAAGGCTCAGAGGCCCAAAGACCATTCCAACTTGAAAATGAAACCAGGGAATGGACAGTGGCACAAGTGTTCCCAGAAGGATTTGTAGGTGACTTGCATCCAAGTATGCTAAAATATCCAGGGGAGAGCAGCTCTGCAATGTTCTGCAAGACTGTGTACTGGTTTCGTAAGAATGGTTTATTGGAGTCAGGGTCAAACGTTTCTGTGAGATCAATGCTTCTGACTAAATCCTGATGCTCAAAACTCAAAATACAACCAAAGACAGAGTGACAGACGACAAGGGCATGTTGCCTAAGCAGGGCATGGAGAGGTGACAGCGTCCAACTGTTACACAGGCGTGGGGCAGGAACGCATACCTTTCTTGCGACACACTTTGCATCTGGCATTCTCTGCCGACATATCCCACTTGATACAGGCATCCAGCATCCCGAGCAGCACATGCATACGGGAGAAGGTCTGGGCCTCACGGATTGCTGTCTTCCACTTCTCCATGGCTGAAGCAACCTGCAGACAGACCTAACAACTTACAACGAAGCACACAGACACAGCTCGCTACAGTCTGAAGATTTTTATTTTACATCCTTTAGCTGAGACCCTTAATAACTCAACTCTGTATTTCTTTCCTTCTACAAAGCCTCAGCAGTCCTATTTGTGGTTTATCCATAACCAGCCTCACTGGATCAGCTTGTTCATAACAGTAGAGCCCTTTTGCATTTCACGGCCAGGCTGAAACAACCTATGTGAACTCCACTAAATTCTTGCTCTGAAAGTCTAACCCAAATAATCATCAGGCTAAGAAAATAAAAGACAGAAATCTAGCACTGTAAAATGTGGGATGAAAGTTAGGAGACAGCTGGCAGCACCACAGGAGCATGGTGGATTGGAGCAGCCTGTGCTGCCCTCCAGTGGGTATTGCAGAGGCACAGAGCCCATCAGCCAGACCTGCCACACGCTTGGTCCTCCTGGTCCTCCAATCTGGCAGAGGGGACCATGACATCAGCTACAATCAGATCTGACAGGCAAAGCATTTGGAGCCCCAAATATGAAGCCAGCTGCTTTCCTGAGACAAGATGACCTCAGCGCATGTGAAATCCCAGAGTTAGCAAGTGAGGATGAAAGTAGTAAACCTGAGATTTGCACCAAGGCAACTGCTGGAGTCTGCACATAGCAAGCCACATGTGAAATCTCAAACTTGGCTCTGGAGGTTTAGAAACAACGTTGTGGTAAATCGGAAATGCACCAGAACAGAGAAGTAATCCAGAGCCACCGCATGTTCAACTCCATTAATCCTCTGCTTTACAACAATGAGGTGATGGCCTAGACATGACAGGGACATAATAGGACTCAAGTTAATGTTCTTCTACCCCAGGAGAATGAAAAAACAAACAGTGAAGTGTCAGATGGGAAAAACTAAACTCTGCAGCTGACAGCAATTTGGGAGCCAAACAAAACCCAGGATTTTTGCAGAGTTGCACATTCTCCTCTGACTGAATTTGAGGAAGCACAGCATATATTAGATGCTTGGAAAAACACACAAACTGTTCTAAAATGCCAACATCCTTGCTGCCACTGCTAGTGTGGAACCTGGAGCCCAATACGCTCAAGACAAACAGAAACCTGCACAGCCGACTGTGGCAGATTACACAGCACTGTGCTATTTCTTTGCAGAACATTGTTGAGGTGCTTCACATACCGTGTAATTGATTTTCCAAGTAACTGTTCCATGGGTTTTGCTGTTAACATACTGGGTAACTGCTGGGCCAAGATAAATCTGCAAAAGCTGTTGGCAAGTTTTGCTTAGATTTTTCTCCCCAAGCCTGTGGAATTTAACAGATTTTTAGCCTTGCTTCCCAAGCATCATGAGACTATGGCATTTTAGCAGTACCATTATCAAGGGAGTTCAGACTGCCAACTAGGCAAAACAGGAGATTGAAAGAAGTGACTTAAATATCCTCCTGACTGGAGAGGAGCAACTCAGCAGGGAAAATAAAAAACCCTCACAAAAATACTAAAGGATATGTCCTCAGTCACATTTCAACTTCAGAGTAACAGAAAATGCCTGCTCTGGTAAAGGTGGACAAACCTCCAGCTAGAAAGGCTCTCATCTGGTATCCTAAAATGACAGAAATCCCTCTGGACAGCTGAAATGGTAATTGTTTGTTTGTGAAGCTACTCTTTGAGGTATTGTCTGCAGGTGAAGACTGGCCCCCCTACACTGCTGACAGCAAGCAGCAGGGGTGAATAACCTACCCACGCTCCTCACTACTCTCAGGCAGTTACGCTGCAATGTCACACTGCAAAGAGGTTACACACTCCATGCCATGTTCTGGGATAGTCCAGAGTGCTACTGTCACTGGAAATGGGGATGTCTGCAGAAACAAAGGCACAAGACTGATTTTCAGAAACAGTCATAAGCCAGGTCTACATTGCAATCTTCTGCCACTCAGCAGTGTGATCTCTAGCTATGTAGCTGAGCCAGCAGGAACCCTCAGTATAGACAATCATGTCAGCAAACGGGTGCCTATTAAGCCATAACTTTTTTCTCACAGGGAAAATGAGACATAATCATACCATAGGACTGCAATTTCGCTTGTATAGTAAGTATATTATGTATGTTTTTCCAGTATGGCTATGCTGTATTTTATCTGCTATGTACCCTCAGCACAGTTGTGGATCTAAAAGACATCCTAATTTTTGGCCTATGCAGGAGATTTATCTTTAAAGACTTATCAGTCAGGGGTTTTTTGCTAGATAACTATATCTAAGATCTGGGCTTCTCTTTCAACGTCATCTGCAAGTGTTTTCTGCTTTGGCAAAAAGAAAGTGCATTCTAGATAATCTAAGGCAAGAAAACCCCCAACCCCCCCCATAAAAACACAAAAACCCAACAAGAGAGTTTTACATTGCTTGTACCACTACAAACGTCTAGAAAACTCTGAGCCAGATAAAGACAGCACTGCAAAAATAAATGCTCCAGAGACAGCGGCACAAGACAAAGGCCAGTACTCCAGGGGGAGACCTGCAGGACCACACACACAGACTGGCAGTGCTACACCTGTGCCCATACACCTGGAAGGCTGGGCTGCACTCATATTAGACAAACTGGGTAACACCAGAAAAAAAAATTCTAAGTAACTTAAGATTAGAAGTCCAGTAATATTCAAAGAAAGTACAAATCAGGATGTTTCAGTCACACAGAGCACTTTGCCTAACTAGGCTGCTGCAGCTGAAAGTTCTGCAGTTGCTAGAACCAAGGATGCTGCAGAAGCCTGGCCTTGCTGTAACAAACAACGCTCCATAAACACGTCACTAAGTCAGAGAGCAATGCTCTAAGGTAGAATGGAGAAACTAACCAAACATTCATGGTCAAAATGGCAGTCTTCAGGCAAGTAAAACCTTGGGTTTGAAATCTGATACAGCTTTAGCAATAGTAGAGTTTAAATACTTCAGGACAACTGGGGAATGTGAAAATTTCTAGTGCCTATCCAAATATCCTGCTAACACGGCAATGACACAGCATAGCAAGTACCTGATGTTCAGAGTTCAGCATACACTGACAGCAGCTATAAAAAAACAAACCAAAACATATGCCAGCACCAGTCAAGCATCTAATTTAAGTTGGGCATTTCAAATGTTTCCATTGATCCAAATCTTATCTTGCTGCTTCTGTTGAAGAGAGGGCAGAAGGCTTTGGAGGGGGCAGTGAGGAAAGTCTTGCCATTGGGCACCAATGTCCTATTCAACTCTGTGTACAGAAACTACCCCTGAGCACTATCCTGAGCACATCCTTTTAGGATGCACCACTGGTTACAGCCCAACTGCCTGCAGGACCCTACCAAATATTTCACAGCCTTCCTCTATCCTTTCTGAGCTTAGATTTTGAAGGTTATTTATTTAGTCCCACAATACCATTTTTCTGCTGCAGGCACATAAGGCTTGTTTGCCCAGAGAAGCTGTGTGCAACCCAGTTTGGCATCTTCTGGGGGTGTCTCCATGACTCGTGTCTCTTCTTGCATAATGCCAATATTTACCTGAACCTAACTCCCTTGCAGTCACCAAAACCCTGTGTGTCTCCTTTTCTCAGATCAAAGGCATTAAGCCACAACCAGTCCTCTCTGACAGAGACAGCTCCTGTTAAATTCTGTAAAAATGCTCCACAATATGTTTTAATAAAAGTACCCAACTTGTGTGAGGGACTGCACAAAGGAAGTAAAATATTCGACTTGACCCATTTCCTGTTCATAGAGAGAAAATTAAGTGTAATTCCTCAGTATGATTTTTATTTTGCCAATACCTTTACTATTCAAAACAAACAGGGAACACCTGGTCCATAAATGACAAACCTACTGCACTCCAAACATGGAACAAAGATGCTGTCGAGGATTTAGTACCTGATGAAATGTATTGTCCCTGCTCAAAGAGTTGTATTACAAGACTGAATCAGAGCCCTGAAGTGCACAATACCTTTGCTTCTTCTGCCATTTTCTTGTCTTCATCTATCTCCTCTGCCTTTGCAATATAGTCCTCTCCTTGATGTTTCCTTCTCTTCTGCTTGGGGGCCATGAAACCTTGCAGAAACTTCTTAACAACACCAGCTTGGAGTGCAATCACACACTCTCCAAAATCCTTCAAGCTCTCCAGTGAGTATACCTGTTAGGAAGAACATGTGATGACCTAAGAGTTGGACATTACACTCTGTACTGTTTTAGGTGGGTCTGGGCTGCAAACGACACGTGATGCTTAATGCAGTGTTGTTGTCTACTATACTTGGCTGTGGAATCAGGATATTGCTGCTGCTTCCGCTAGAGTTCATACACAGTTGATGATCATGCACAGCACTGTTCAGGAAAAAGCACAATGCCTTGAAAAAACCCCACCTTATCAAAACACCAAATTCATGATTACCAAGCACTAAGTTATTCTTCTACTTCCTCACTTTTCCCCTCTTCTTAACACTCAGGGTCTGCAGTGACTCAGGACATAACTTAAACAGAGCTTTAACCATTCCAAGCCAATGTTGTCGTTCGGTAGGAGGAAAACTAGGATGCACTAGTCACAGCAGTGTGTACTCTACCCACACCAAGCAGATATATCACCTCCTAAAGACACTCAGTACACCAGTAATGCTCACATGCGTTAGGCTGGACTAGCCAGAGCACTAAAAAGTCATAATTTAGTTCACTGCAGAGTAACTTCCTTGTGCTACAACAGAATATATTTTAAATTCTGAAAATGGAACACAATCATTACCCCAAACCTAAAGTGGTCTCGATTTACAAAAACCACCCTCCAAAACAGAAAACTGCTGTCTCAACAAGACATACTGACTTTGACACAGAAGCTAAAAATCATCTACAAAGAGTTCTGCTAATGCTCTGTAAAGAAGTCCACCACCAGATGAAGGAAACATTACAATTTAACACCTGTGCAGGACACTCAGCTCCAACATTATGACTCACCTACACCAAAAGGACCTCAAGCCAGCAGCTGTGTAACCTTGAAATAATAGTTTAGAAAGAGAGGACACATAAGAAAACTGATTTTCCTGATCCTCATGTCTGAGAACAAAACACTCAAGACCTTCCACAGAAAGTATTAGACTGTGCTTGTCTTGCTCAGCACTACTTTGCCTGTGCACTTACTCTTGCTTCATATTCTGGTGTCACATCAACATATCCCAGGCCTCCTTTTTGCAGCCGAGTTGCAACCTCAATGAGATCACTTCGGAGGTAGTTCAGCAGTTCCTGGTTGCCATCACAGAATTTGAGGCCCAAGTTCTGTTTCCGAGCCAGATGAATAGAATGTGTGATGTCCTGATACCTGGAAAATCAAACCCCACCTTTGAATACATGCAGGCCACTGTCCTGCAAGCTGCACAGGCACCAGGGCAAAAAATGGTATCCACTGTGATCTACGTGCTCCACCAGTGCAGAACATTCTTTGAAAGATGCTTGAAAGCACGTAGTAGTGAGTGAAACAGCACTACTTCTGTTTCCAATAGCAATTTAACTTTATTTAACTCCTAACTTTTCACTGAAATTTAACCCCTTTCAAGGAGCAATTTAAAGACTGACAGAACCTCTTCACAGGTTAGAGCATTACTTATCAATAACCTGCAGTTACTGCCCAAGAAAAAAAAGCAATTTCTCATCAGTATCCTCCCCTATTCAGCACAGGCACAATCAAAGCAAAGCACAGAACGCTGCCCCAGGAATGGAAAGGCTTGCTGTGAAGAGGATACACTTTGAGAAGGCATGCAGAGAAAAAGAAGAGCAGGCTCACCTTTTCTCCAAGCGCTCCTTTAGTTGGCTCTCCCTTACTCCTTGTGGGTGCAGGCAATCCAGCAGCTCATCCAAATCCTTCTGATTGTCACAGAGAAACCTGAAAGATATAACATGTACCAACATCAGGTAACGTATCGCTGTGGCGAGACAACTCCTTCTTCTAAATAGTTCACAAGTATTAGTAGGCAGGGATGACAAGTAACCTATATCCCAACCCCATGGAACAAGGTGAAACTCTTCCAGTAATGCTGTCATAAACATTCTGACTCAGACTCGCCTCGTTTCAAGGTCCCCAAATGTAGGCAATTCCATGGTAAGAAAAATAAAATAAACACAAAACTGATTTATAGATTTTTCCCCATTAAGTTTATTAAAACATTGGAATTTAGTCATCTACCCCAGGGATTAGATTCACTAAGTTGCCATCAGTTTAAGTAATCTGAATGTCATTTTAGATGCACTAGAAAAGATTATCATGCTATGCGCTGCATAGCATGGCAATTTAATATTTTTTTTTCTGCAGAGCCTTCGACTTCTTTCATTAACCCAACAAGTCCCTAGATTAACAAGGGGTATGTCCTAGGCTTATACCACAATTGCTGATGTAGGTTTATGCCTTCTGTAAGCGCAGGAGTCCTCCCTTCTAAGAAGCTTGCCTTAACTTGAAAGCTGAAATGCGGTATGTGAAAACCATATTCATTAGCTTTAAACTCTTCTGCTCAAAGCGTTTCAGGATAGCAATGGTAATTGGCAGTTAGCTGAATCTAAAAGGGGAAAACTTTTGCAGAGTTCTCTACACAAGGCATTCTCTCTGCAATTCCAGAGTACAATCAAGTTTTAATGCTAGGTTGTACATTTAAAGTAGGTTTAAGACAGCTGCAAATCATGCTCTTTTCCTTTTTTTTTTTTTTTTACTCTCTTCCCCCCACCTTTATTCTAGGACACCATGAAGCCTCCTCACCTGATGGGGGCAGGGATTCAACCTGAGCTTCAGAGCTCATTTACAGAAACTAATTACAATCTTCTAGAAGAGGATTTTTCCTTAGAAGAGGGAAGCGAGGGAATAGCAAAATCAACCTTATATAGAAACAACTGCAAAGGACCACAATGTGATCCTTACCAGCCACAGGGAAGACTCCAGATCTAATTTTTCTTCTTGGGCACAAGCTCAGATGAGCTAAGCAACAACTAGAGAAAGATGCTGTTCTGGCTCCTCTTGGAATAACAGTATCCACAATGCTTATTTTTCTGGCAGAAATACTTACTAAAAAAATCATATCTGAAAAGAAAATATTTCAGAGTTGTAGTATGTTCATATTAGGGGAATGGCCTCAAAATTTGTGTTCAGTTAGTAAATTAATAAAACATATGATCGATTGTTTAAAAATGGAAGAAAGATAGTTTCTTGCCAGTCACCTCCTTCAGTATACTCCAACCCTGCGGAACATCCTCACTTTGCACACTCAGTTCAAAACTTTTGGCCACCACTATCCTCTGTACACCCTCCCTGCGAGAAACAGGACAGAGCAGCTCCAATTATCTTTCACCCACTAGAGCCTAGCACAGGCATTTCAGAAGTAGTAGTGATTAAGGGCTGGTCATGGGATCCAACAGGCATTCACACAAACCTGTGACAGTATAATTTGTTTCTTTTCCTTATAGATGACTCTTAGGTGACTAATAAGCATCCCTACATCCACTGGAAGGTGTACAGACAGAGCGCTGCAAGGACTAGCATTTCTGAGTCTCCTAGACTTCTGATAAATATTTGAGAGAAAACTTTCTCCTGTCACAATATGGAAATGGCATAAACCAAGCTTCAAAACAGTTGCCCTGCAGATAGCCAGCAGAGGTCTATTTCTCTGGCATGTTGAGAATGTTGCCTAGGTCATGATGAAACAACATTAGTCACTGCTGGTGATATACCACGGGATCCAGCTGGAAAAATACCTGAGAAGATCATGTCTGAGCTTTCTCAGCTTTCCCCCATGGCTGCAAATTTAAGGGGGGAATTCCCTGCAGTTTTGCTCTACTGCAAAAAATGAAAAGGGACTGCAAACAGTTAACATATGGTGCTTGGATTCTTCAGCTATGTGGTCTGGGGAAAGACAACACAGGCAGCTGGCCAGTGAAAGAAAGCAGGTATCATCCTTTTAAGTAAGCTAGGGTTAAGCCCTGGTACAACTTTGTTCTGCTGAAAAAGAAATGGGACAGGGCAGGGAGAACAACTGTAATAGGTACTTAGTCTTCCCAATTCAGTCAGAGTAAGGACTGGGATTTCTGGGAGAGGAACTGTTCTGCATCAGCTTGAACTCAAACGTGCAAAATATCTAAGTACCACCTGTGTAAGTTTGCTTGGTGACACCTTGCTGCTCTGTGCAGCCACAGCTCCTGAGAACCCTCAGTCTAGCTCCAAGCACTCCCTATGAACTGAAGGAACCACCTGCACCTCTCCCTGTGGCTCAGCCAGCACAAGGCTGGGAGCATGGACATGGCAAACCAGAGCTGGCATTTTCAGTGGGGGAGGCAACAGGGCTGTGAGCCTGTGGGTCTTGGTAAGAGGGAGGGGAAGACAATTGGTGCCCTTCACATGGCCTGACACAGAACTTAGGAACATAACCCAGAGCAGTGGGAAAGATGTCTTTGGACAGTCAAGACCAGATGGAGGTGTTCAAACTAACATGAAGGGGGGAAATCCTGACTGAGGTCAGGGCTTCCCACATCCCTAAATAAGAGCCTAGATTCTTTTCTGCCAGCACAAGCCAGCAGCCTGGTCATCACTCCAGACAGAAGGGACAAGTGGCACAAGCATCAAGTCCAGAGGAGCTCTCAGTATTCACTCATGCTGAATATTCCTACCTGTTCCAGGCTACAGGCTGCAAGGGACAGAGAGAAAGGTATAAAACCTGGACTGCAGACTAGGGAATGAAGAAATCAAGAGGACAACATCTAGAGAGGCCCAGGATCAGTACCTGCTCTGGAGGGTTGGTGGAAACAGGGGAACTCCATCTGTAGAATATAGGCGTGAGAATGGAGTCTGTCAGCACCCACTCATGGTTAACTCAAATTGTTTGCTGAGGGGACCCGCCATACCATGGAGTATTCCTAATAGATGAAGAACAACGGGAGTTACTCTGCAGAGATACCACTGCTTCCAAAATTCAACTGCTTTCTGACCAGGATGAGCAAGAAGTATCCTGCATACTAAGATACTGCAAAGGTTGTGATTAACCTGTAGCTCTCGCAGGAGCGACCAGCACATACACAGCTCACAAAGCACTACAGTACAGACAAAAGGCTTTTTCAGGGACTGTGCGCACAGAAGCTTTAAACGGGGAGACTATTTTAATAAGTACCAGCATCAGTAAAAGTGCTGCACAGTGTTAGAAATGGGACTGCTCAATCTGTCTGGAGAAGACAGAAGTGACCAAGACTTATGGTTCTGAATGAGAACAGTGATTCAGCCTCCCCACTTTCAGGACAGAACACTGGGCCCTCTTCTTTTGGGGACAAAGTACTGAAAGCAGAAACCACTTCCATGAGATATTGTTTCTGCAGCTCTTGGCAAAAGAATGGAATCTATTTCTCTTCTTATCAGTGTCCTATCAGCTCCCATGCTCCAGGAGAAAAGGGGCAGGACTATGAAATACAACCATTCATATAGTTAATCTGGTCTTCATCTCAAAGTCTCATCACTCTAGAGTATAAAAGGGTAAAGCTAGAGATGCTCTATGTGCACTGCGAGGCTACTCTTAATTCCATGTTAGATGGACTACTATGAAAAAAAAGAGATGGCAGGAGTTAAAGCAGAACACAAAGAAATGAAGCTTCCTATGCCCCACATGCTAACACTGTGAGTTCTAGCTGAACAAGCCCTTGTATCCAAACAACAGGGGATAGATATTCAAGGACTTCACTGGGGCCTCAGGGCTTTTCAGGGTGTGCAAGAGCAATGTGCAAAGAGCAGCCAAGCGCCAACTCTTCCATAGCCATCTATGGTTACAGGAGTCCTTGAGATTGGAGAGATCAATGACAATGGCCACAGAGGAAAATACAGTAACAGGAATATGGATTTCCTCAGAGGGAAGTTCTAATTACTGGCAGCTCTCAGACTGCCACTTGTTTTTTTTGTGGAAGCTTACCTGTAAACAGTGACAGCTGTCAGACAGGTACTTAGCAAACAAGCTCTTTGCAGTTTTAGAGCTTTAAAGAAAAGTCTTTCAGCTGAGTACGCTTACTGCCTATCTGCAGAAATGGCTTTTGGGTGGCCCTTTGGTTAAGAGAAAGCCATGCAGACAGCACGCAAGAATGCTAAGTTAGAAGTGGTTAGGTTTTCTTTGGAAAGATGTCATTGTGCCCCCTGCTCACTGGCATGAAGGCCTACAACTGGCTCAGGTCTTCCATTTGTATTGCTCTACCTTGACATCCTGACACTGTCAACCTGCTTGGCAGAAATGCACACAGGCATGATACTCTCAGTAAAAAAATCAGCAAGTGCTGTGACTGTCAGCAGCCTTTCCTACCAGGTACCAAAAAGGACAGAAATCAAAAGACACTGTGGTGTAAGAGCCAGGCCATGAAAAAATCCCGCCCAGCTCAGTATCTTATTTCTGAGTGGCAAAAAGGCAGAGCAGGCACGCAGTGACATTTCTTCAATCTGATCCTACAGATTTTAGCACCTGCTGGTTTGAGGACTTCCTTGTGTGCCAGGACAAGAACCTTTGTGCTTAATACTCCTCAATGAACTCCTCTTTCAGTGATTTGTCCAACTGGTGCTTTGAAGGGGTATGCATTTGAAGATTCACAGCAGCTGGCAGCAGTGAGTTGCATACATCAGCTGTATGATCTGAAGCAGTACTTTCCTCACTATTTCAAAACTGCTATTTGCTAGTTTAGTTTCTTGATCCTTTTTTCTGTATTAAAAGAAAATCTTCTTTCTTTAGACTTCCCCATTCTTCTCTAGCAATACTCTCTCCCTGCACATACAAAATAAAGTATTTCTGTAATTTGTTTCATATTTCTTAGTCAGTTATTTGCTCATGAGAAGAGCTTCCCTCTTATCCCACGGCAGGCCCTGTAACAGATCTTGTGAAGCATGATTGTTCCCCAAGGACAAAAAAAATTGTTTTGCCCTTAGTCTGTACTTCAGTTTATCACCCTTTTTATTTCCTTCATTTAGACTCAACCACAGATAAGTGGGCCTTCTTACTTTTAATAGCTTTTTTTATCCTGATGTGAACCATACTCAGAATGTTTTGTTACTGTTGCTGCTGCTTTGTTCCCAAGTTTCCTCAAACCTTTTCTTCAAAGGTAAGAGGTGGCACTTGCTCTGACCATCTAGTATGAAAGCTTTAAGACAATCTCTTGGAAAGCATTTTAGGCTTCCGGCTGCCACTAAACTTTTATAACTTTTTAAACAAGCTTTCTAATTCTTTTTGTTACTCCTTTTTTTTTAAAAAAAAAAGAAAATCACCACATATTATAGTCACTTCATACACAGTAGCTCTTAATAACAAAATACAATTCAGTTCTGAGAGTGTACCAGACCTGGTTCAAAGAGCTGCTTCTTGTGGGCTGTATGACTAGTTACTCTACAAAGCACTCCTACCTCTGGAACCTCTTTGATCTCTCCCAGCATGTCATTCAGAGCTGTCTGATTGAGCAAGTCAATACTGTAATATTAAATACTATGCTTTTCCGAGTTCAGCCTGGAATTACAAGTTGCAGGGATTCTGTGTTATTTAACTCATCCAATTCAGCTCTATGTTGTCTTCAGTTTATAGCAACATGAACTAGTAATTTAAGCTACTGTTTTCCTTATATAATTTGTCCTTCTACTGGGACATACCTTGGCATCTCTGCTAAATGAAGATCAAGTATTAGAAGTGGCAGTTGGAAGGAGCAGAGAGGACTTCCCTGTGGATCGTACTGTCCTCTACAACCTCCAGTTTAGCACCCATTCCCTAGGAAAGCCCAATTGCCAGAAGTTTGGCCATGTGACAAGATGTGCAAAGGACTAGACTGAGAAAGGGGTGGATATTGTCACAGCAATACTGGACAGATTGAAGGCATTCAGAGAAAACTATCTCCTATGACCTGCTAGCAATAAGGTACAGAGCAATAGAGTCAGCACTCAATGCTGACAGTTTAGAAGAATCAAGACATCCATAAATTTCAGACTCTTTGACAGTTCCTGGTGGGGAGCAGGAACATCTCTAGTAAACTAGTTCTGACTTGCAACAGCGGAACTACGCTTTGAAACTCAGATCACAACTGGTGATATTTATCAAAGGCCAAGTATCACACTTTGTGGATCAGCAGTGGAAAACTGGGGAAAAGCCACTGCCAAGGGGAGAGCTGCAGGAGCAAGTACTTTGTGACAGTTACTTCTCAGCATCATCTAAAAACCACAGAGTCCTTCACAGCAGTTTAGTAGGTGAAGCTGTAAGCCAGTGTTTTCTGGCACAGGAACACTGCTGATCACTCCTTACTACACAGGGCGACAGTCGATATTGAAGATTTTCTTTAAAGGTAAAAGAGGTTGGTAGGGCCAACTACTGGAGCAAGTCACAATCAAACATGCTCAAAGATAAGAGTGTTTAGATTTGATTCACTTAGAAGACACGCTGATGGCTACTGCTTGGCACTGGCAAGCATTAAAGGGATAACAGGCTATCAACACAGAAGAATGATTTTGCTAAGCTATTTATCAGTAGCAACAAAATCAAGTCTGTATCTGGTGCTACAGAAACAAGTGGACACCACCAGAGTCTGCTGTGAAGCCTAGGAAGGAGCTGGGGGATGGCTCTGCACATCTCACACAGTACAAGAACATGCAGGAACACAGGCCTGTCTCCAAAAATCTCAATGAAGACTTTAATTTTATGTGTTCAAGAACCCCATGTGCCACAATTCAGGTCTGCTGAGATGAACCATGAAAGAAAAATCTAGACACACTTAGCTAGGTCACTGCTCCCCTCCTTGTTTGAGGGGTGTGGGGTGGGGTGTTTGTTTGTTTTTAAAGTAACACCAATACTGAAAAAAAGTACACAGCAATTCTTTTAAATTATCAATTCTTCTGAATGTAAAAGATTTAAAAAGCAATACATCAAAGTATCATTTTACCAGCTTAATTTATACTGGCTTTAAGTCTGATTTATTAGATTGATTATAATGGTTCCACCAGCTCTTGGACTGGGTCCTATTAACCATTCACTACTAGTAATAAGATCAGTAAGAGGCCTGGAGAGCTGCTAAACTAATCCAACTGTTAAGTAAGGCCTATCAAAAGAAATCTGTCTAGTTTCCCCGTCCTCTATGCTTTGAGTATTTCGCAGCTATAAAAGAACGTGTTACCATAAGTTCTGTCCCTGCTTGGGTGCAGTCGTCTCTGTGGGCAGGTCTGCAGCATGCACAGCCCGATGAAGCTTGCTCACTCTGCCATCAGCTGCACTCTTCCGCTTGTCTGTAAAAGAAACCCAAGGCTTAAGTGTATTCTCATTCATCTTCCTCCTCAGTGAGTATTCTTACTTTGCAAAAACTAACCTATCTTCAGGTAAGTGTTTATATTCAGCATCTAGGTCAGCAATACATTTGTCAGGGAAAACTCATCCAGCAGTAGTTTGCTAAAGCTCACAGCACATGCATTTATAGAAATGCAAAAAAAGGTAATGTATTTTAAAAGAAATTACAACATCATAAAGCACATACATAAAACTAAGAAAAACATTCCTATTGCAAATATATAAACCTAGTTTCACTTCTTAACTACATATGACAAAGTACTTTTAGAACACCTGGAGTGTTGTGTCCAGCTTTGGGCACCTCAATATGAGAGAGATCTCGAGGGGCTGGAGCGAGGGCAGAGGAGGGCAATGAGGCTGGGGAAGGGCTGGAGAATAAATCCTGTGAGGAGCCAGGGAAGGAGCTGGGGGTGTTCAGTGTGAGGAGGAGGAGGCTGAGGGGAGACCTCGTCACACTCTGCAGCTCCTGACAGGACATTGCAGAGAGGCTGGGGCTGGGCTCTGCTCACAGGGAATTGGTGACAGAACAAGAGGGAACGGCTTGAAACTGCAACAGGGGAGGGTCAGACTGGACATGAGGAAAAAATGTTTCCCTGGAGGAGTGGTCAGAGTGTGGAATAGGCTGCCCAGGGAGGGGGGAGTCCCCATCCCTGGGGGTGTTTAAGGGCCATTTAGATGAGCTGTGGGGGGATGTGGGATAGGGGAGAACTTTGCAGAGTTGGGCTGAGGGTTGGACTTGATGATCCCGAGGAGCTTTTCCAACCTGAATGATTCTGAGTTATAAATAGGATGTATTTTTGTGAGCATCTTAAACAACAGTCTGATGTGAATTTAAACCTTTGCTTATTTAAGCCTTTGCTTAAGTTTCAAAAGGAATGTGTTGAAATCTTGCACACTAGCTAGGTAAATACATAGGCAGCAGTTGAGAAATTAATACAGCTGGAAGCAAGGTGGTGTACAGAAACGTGGCTGGTCAGTATCTGAAGAAGTTCATGTTAGAAAAATATACCCATTGAGCGTCACTGAATGATACCACTGCCAGCTCAACATGTCACCAAGACACAGATAACTGGAAAGTTTCATACTGGATGTAGCATCTCACTGTAGGTTTATTCTGTTCCATTCTTCTACAGATGTCTACTCTGACCATTGTCTAAAACAAAATACCACCACGTGAGGGCTCTGTTTTAACTCAATATAGCCTCTCACACACAGTACTGCTGTAGATGGACTAAGTGCCAGCCTAGGTTATTTTAAAAACAAGAAATGATCCAGACTGAAACTACAGCTGGAGTCAGAGTATAGCATGCTCTTCTGTACCAAGAACTATTCCCACATAGAAGCATTAAGTTTCCCTCCCCACAGACTGATTTTTGTACACTTCCAAGTTCTGTCTGCAAGGCTCCAAGTCAGCCAGGCAGAATTAGAGGAAGCAGTGTAAGTTCAGCTAGTTGTTGCACTTCACCTGCATGTTCAGTACAACGTGAACAGCAGACAGAACATCTGGAAGAGGGCTGTGTGCCAAAAGGGGCTCAATCAGCAAATTTTAGGTATCTAGAAGACTGTCCTTGATACTATTTCACAGGTAAATCTTGCCACAGGTGGAACATTAGCATTGTGATGGATACCCTCACCCCCTGCAGCACACAACTGACAACTTGTCCAAGAAGTCTGGGATGCTGCAACTCAGCAGGGTCAGAGTAAACCACAGGGGCTAGTTCAAAACTGACATGAACCTCACTGCTTTTAGGAAAAAGGTGACTGTACCACATGGTCCTCATGTGGTACACGGCAGGCAGGCTCAAGACGTGCAGCAACAGGAGGGAGATTATCACAATCATCAGACTCCCCTGTATGCAGGCTTATAGAGTTTAAAGAAGGCTTAGATCAGAGTATCTCCATGAAAACACCCAGACCAGACAGTTTTCTCTCACATTCACAAATCCATTCTAACAGTCAGACATCAACAAAGGAAATACCCACAAAGGCAGCTGATCATACCTCCTGGGCTGTAGTCCTTTCTAAAATCTTCTTTCTTCTGATGGGGAAGGATGAATCTGTAGTCTATACTGTCATGTACCCAGCCTTTCTCAATGAACAAGCCAGGAATCTCATCTGAAAACAGCCAATACCTGTAGGAAACACAGATGTTAACAGGTACCTGGCTCCTCTTCTGGCTAGTTACACACATCCACCTTTATTTGCATAAAGGGGAGACACATCTGTGTGCTTGACTCAACAGGAACCGCATACATGTATATATTTGTATTAGCACAGTGGAGAAACATGAAAAGCTTTTGTTAGAACCTATTCTAAGAGCACTCCTGTGCAACAAATGGAAAAAAATTAAAAAAAAAGATGGCAGTTAGGTTCTTGTGATGCATGCACTTGAAGCTCTACTGGCTAGTGGATCCTAACCTCCACAGAAAGGCCTCAAAAAGCTGGCTATGCCAACCAGTGAAGGTCACTGCACCCTATATACATAAAACTCCTGCTTCTCTCCACAGTTCAACACCCAGGCAGTCTTCTCATTCTCCATATCAATCACTTTGTGGGGACTGCTGTCAGGTAAAGCTCCTCAGAGGGGAGAGCTAGCAGCTCAGAATCATTTCCTTTTCTACCTGTTATGATTACGATCGGTGCCCACTGGTGTCCTGCGCATCACCAGCTTCGCTTTGGCAATTCCATCCTGGAAGGTTTTCTCAGCTGCAGCTTTATGCTTCCGGATTCTTTCCTCCTCTGCTTCTTTCTCCATCCTCACTGTTGGAATCAGCACAGAAAAATATTAGCTTTCTTTTATTGTATGCAGACATCAATATTCTCTTTTATTTTACTACATCACAGGAGTTTAAAAAAAAAAATCAGTGACTTTGGTTAATATTCTTTTAGCACAGCCATCCACTCTTCATCTTACTTTCCACCCACCATTCTAACAAAAACTCAAGAATTAAGAAGTCAAGGCATAAGGATGAACAGGGATGAAGAAAAAGGAAAGTCTGGATGAAAACTGTCTGGAGAAATTAGTCCTCATTACTATTTCTCATTCTAGATCAACGAAGTGGCACCCTTTGCTGTGCAATCCCATGTAACAACGGAGTCAAATATCTTTAACTACAGCACAATGTACAACAAGGACTTCTGCTCTGGCCAGCTCTAGTGCTGGGAGTGGTCAAGCTGTGCCACCACAGAGGGCAGCGGGGCTAAAGGACACCTGCATGTCCAAAACAGCCAGCTACAAGGACGCTCTCCCCACAACCTGACCTACCAAAAAAACAGATCTGGCACAAGAGGCCTCTTCCAGGCACAACTGTCTCACAATAGCAGCCAATTCGCATCCCGTAACACCCCACGCTTTCCCATACATGCTATGATGTAGAAGAGATTAAAATAGACATCTCAGGTTTCCCACTCATGACAAAAGTGCTGGAATTTCAGTAGCTCTCAATATCCATGGCTGCTGACAAAGAGGAGAAAGAAAAATATGAAGAGGCCTAAATCCTGGCATCACAGGCTCATTGGCAAGAGTCTTACAGAACAAAATATGTCATTTCATATCTCTAGGTAAGGGGCAAGAAGCAAGGCAGCTTCTGCCAAGAAACAAACCGTTAAGGTCAAGAGGATTTATGCTTCTCATGATGGTTCAAGAATCTCTCTACACTTTTGCCCATCTCCGAAGAATAAATATACTTTCACCAAGAACTGCCTGAACAAAATGGAACAAAATGTCAAATTGAGTCACATTGGCTCTACGGAGTCTCATCTCAGTCTAACAAAATAATAAAAAAAAAAAAATTTAAAAAAAATCACCCTTCACAACTTGCACAAAAGACTATGGGCAACATTATTCTGTGTCTGGAGAAAAGGAAAAAATGAAAATGATGATGACATGAAGACTTACTTTTGCATCACAAAGAAGATGGAATGAGACCGTGTGGAAGGCAGAGCGGGGCAGGTAAAAGGGTATAGAGGTTGTATGCAGGCTGCTGTCTCAGGGAGAAAGCTACCTTCTTGCTAGGACTCTTTCCAGGGCTACTACCTATCTGTAACCATTTTCTGTATTGATAGGTTTGATAACAGTTGGTTAGTAAATACCTGGTAAGTCTCTGTTACACCAATTTGTTACACCAATGCAACGAATCAGCTTTTACATAATAATATACCAACAATATACCAACATACAGTAATTACAGCATGCCAAAACTGTCCCACTAATCCACACCTGCCAGACACAAGCAGCTGCACAAAACCTGTCTGTAAATATCAACTCCTCCCTAAACCTTACAACCTCCCGCTATGTCAAAATGCTGAAACCAGAACAAGTAGCAACAGCCTCTCTCACAGTACCAAATCCCTTGTGTCACCTAAATCTGCTTCTTGCAAACCACATCAGGACACCCACAATACAGGAAGTACCGTTCTCACCTTCCACTAGGAGAGAGAGGTGATATGATTCCCCTAGAATTTCTCTCCTTGACACCTTCTCAAGACTTGCTGCTGTCACCTGGCACTAGCACAAGGTACACTTCCCTACTCCTCAGTACTCTCCCCTCAAGAGCCAAGGCTCCAATAAAAACAAGCCATACCACCAGCAGACTCTTCAATGCTTACAACATGGGATATCAGGGGCACTCATGAGACAGGTATTTTTTCTATCCAACTGTAAAGACCAGTTGCAGCACATACCATCAACTGCTAGAAAAAGGAAGAGGCAAAGAAAGAACAGAAACTTAAATTTAGTCAAAACTGTTCTAACAAAGCAAAAACAAAAACACCAAACTAAAGGCTTCCTCCCCATATTTCATTTTCAGTTGTGATGGCAAGCTAGTCTCAGTTGGTACGCTCCTCTGTAGCAGCATTAGCTGTGTAAGCTTCCAGCTCTCCATTCTCCTCCAACTGTGTAGGAGCTATTGCTTCATGAGTAATAAGGCAAAGAACAATTTCCTGCAGTAACGTGGAAATGGAAGGGTCTTTTACTATCAAGAAAATACAGACATTAATCATGTTATCTCAACAGGAAGTTCTGTATTGACTTCTTTTAAAGTCAAGAGAGGAAAAAAAAAAAACCATTTAGTCTCAGCTCAAAAAAGAACCCAGTGTAAGAATGACTTATCTTGTTAGCACCAGCCACAATCTTGATAGGTTTAACTTGAAAGAGGTTAGTGCTCCCAGCGTTGCAGATGTTACCAGTGGTGAAAAAGAAACCTCTGACTGTGAGATACATATCTATATATATGTAAAAAAGCAGCTGCTGACAAAACACTTATTGTGCAGCAGTGCAATATTCATATACACACATATATATGAACCACTGCACAATAAGTGTTTTGTCAGCAGCTGCTCTTTTACTTCCCCCAGAGATACAAACATTATTAAAAGCAAATGTAACTGAAGTGTCATGAAAGCCAATATGCTGAAAAAGCCCACAGAAAGCCTGTGTGATGGAAAGAGCACACTGATGCAGTTCTCACTGTGGTTATCCAGAACTATTTTTCACATGCTGAAACCACATCAGCCCCTGAGTTTGAAGTCCTGAACAGAGTAGCTCCGAGCTGCTAACCCTGCAAGCCCTAATGATAGTGCTGTCAACATTAACCAAGATCTCTGGTACTTTGAGGGTACCTTTGTGCCTGGTACTAACTGCTTAACACATAAAAAGCTCTGGATGCCTGAAATGTTGGGGTTTGTTATATGGAAAGGAAGCAATATGAACTCAGATGTTAATGAAAGGCTTCAGACTTCTCTGCCAGAGAGACCCTTTTCCCTTGTGGGATCCAAAAGGATAAATTAAAATTCCTCAGCACACAAGCCAAATGATTCTAATCTCCATCAATGTACTATTGTTTTTCTTCATATATAACTAGCACAAACTATGAGGTGAGAACAACAAGAATCCCAAGGAGTAGTGTCCAAACTATTTCATTTTGCAGTAAAATCTTATCATGAACTTGAGCTTGCTGTCAAACAACTGCAAGAACTGGGGCCAAGAGGCCATTCAGCTATAGTATGTTATTTAGTATTTTGTTTTTCTGGAGAAGTAAGGCCGCACTCCAGTTCTTCAGCAGTTTATTGATACTTTTGAGATTCACAGTTCTTAACAGAAGATCTGAGAGGTCTATTTCCTTTAAGCATCAGGCATGGTTGTATCCAGTCTACTTCCTCGGGAGCCTCAGGGTATTACACATGATTTACCCATCCTCAGTCTCCTAGAACAGATACTCCCACATTCCAGATAAGGTACATAAACCAGATTCCATGTGGGATGCTTGTCCCTCAGCTGTTTCAGAAGGGAAATAACAACATAGATGAGCTGTGCTGTTTATTTCCATCTATCCACTACTCACATTTACAACCAGAAAAAATAATCCCTCAAGTGCAACTCCAAAGTATTTTGCTCTTTATATTCCATACTCCCTAGCAAAAAGTACTACTTACACAGAGGCATACAAAGCTTGATATTGCAACTCATACAGAGGTTTGAGCAGACAAGTTTATATTTATACAACTCCATAACTAATTCTTTAAAGTGAGAAACATTAAACTAAAATTTATTGCTTAAGTCCTTGTTTGGGAGAGAAGCTGCTAGCACCAACCTGACACTTTGCATGACAGCAAGGCCAGCAGCAGCTGTAGAAACTAGCTTTTAGGCAGGAAATATCTCCCCTGCACAGAAGAACCAGATGATGTTTGGGCATAGACAAATATTCTTTTTTGTTTTCTGTCCCCAAAACAGATTTTCTGATCTCCAACCTTCCTGGGCCTGACAGAATTAGAAAGGTACTGAACAAAAGATGCCTCCAGATAAAAATCTAGAAGCAGTTATTGCTTTTCCTTAACAATCCAGATTTAGAGCTGCCACAGAAACCACAGCAGTCAAGTTATACTTCTCCAGTGAGTAAATCTTATAAAAACAGGTGATGCTTTTGAAAACAGGCTGTCAGTTTTGCCATTAATTTATTTTCCCCTACCCCAGAGCACACAACACTCCACTCTCCTGGTATTTTTCTCACCTCTCATTTGTATTTCTTGTTGCTCCCTTGCTTTCTTGGCTTGGATGGCAAGAAGGCGCCTGCTCTTCACAGCACTGACCATATCATCAGCTTCTATTTCTACTCTGTGTTCTATCTTCATAATCTCATTTTTTTTCTTTTCATTTCTTCCCATCATATTCTCATCTCTCCCATTCTCCTTATTCTTGGCCACCATTTCTTTCCGCTTCTGTTTTTCTGCTCTCTTCTTATCATTTTCCTCCTTCAGGATAGCAAGGCGCTCCTTCCACAGCTCAGCTGATGTCTGCTGCTTGGTCTCCACATGGTCCTGCACAGAGTACGTCATCAGAATCCGGTGGCACAGTGCTCCAAGGATCTGCAGTTTCTCTTCAGGAGTCAACTCAAAGAATTCTGAAGTCTCCAGTTTCTCCAAGAACTCATCCTGCACTTCATTATCCTCAAAAGCTGCCGAATCCTTGCTTTCATCTACATTATCCGAGACCTCACTTTCCTCTTGCACGTCTGACTTGCGTAGGCAGAGACGAACCAACTCAGAAGCAGAATGCAAAGTAAGTGGTATTTCAGAAAGTTTCATTCCCAGCTCAGCATAATCTTCAGCAATTTCATCCTGCAGCAGGGTCTGCAAGAGAATGACCAGTACTCGGTTCAAATAAAGGAAGCCTCCCTTTTCTGCACAAAGTGCTTCCATAAGGGAAACTGCTGTGATGGGATACTGAGCATCTGGCATTAATAACCCTGAGTAACAGCTCAGGAACTCCACCACCATGGCGACATCCCCAAAGAGCGTATTAGGAAGGCCTTCTGGAGTATCAACCAGTTTAAAAGTAGGCAAGGTCTTCCCTTTAAGATCTTGGTCCTCATATCTTTTCTGTTTTTCCAGTTTTTCCTTCATCTCCTTCTCCTTCCGCTCCTTTGCTCTCTCCTTCAGTTTCTCTTTCAGCTTCTCCCTTTTCTTCTTCATGTACTCCTTTCGCTGCTCCTCTGTCATGGTGGCCCATTTCTTCCTGTGCTCTAGCAGCTCATAACGTTTCTGTACTAACCCTCGCAAATCCTCAGGGAGACGGGCACGATCCTCATTTGAGAGTAACCTAGCTGTTTTGGAGATGATGCAGGAAAGAGCACTTTTTTTGTCTTCCCGGTCCTTGTTTTCTTTGTAATAGGCAATGAGATGGAGTGCTGCAGGAGGCAGATGTTTCTGGGGTTTGCTGGAAGACCTTGGGGTACCTCCAGAATTCCTGGGAGTCCTGGACACCTTAGTGGTACCTTTAGCCATGTCCAGTAGTGTCATCTGCTTCATTTTCATCTTGGGGGTCTTCAAGCCTGCCCTAGGAGACTTCGATTTCCCCGATGACTTCTGCCCATTCAGAACCCTTTTGCCTCTTTGCTTTTTGTCCAATGATTTGTTGCTGCCCTTCCCCAGTCGGCTTTTCTTTGGAATGTGGAAGTTAGAATCAAGTTTAGCAGGTGACACAATTTTCATCACCTCTTCCAGCTCCTCTTTAGGACATTTTGAATTCTTAGGGGTTTTCACCTTCAGTGGAGAGCTGATAATAGATTTCTCCAAATGCACATGGCACCACAGAGTAGGGCTCAGTGGCTGGCTCAGGGATGATCCATCAGCTTTGGATTTCTTAGGCAGCTTTCTGTCAGGTGATTGAGAGCTCTTCCTCTTGGTTGAGGGGTTGAGAGTCATATACTAAAATTAAAGAAAGAATTATTTTGTATTAGTACTTAAAGGTACCTAGATCATTTTCTGTCTATTTTTGCCTAGGTTTATTTTAAATGTATTTTTCCAATGAACAAGCAGTACTCAATATCTTAAGGGTAACAGGCTTCTTCATAGTTTTCAACATTCTGCACTGTAGTCACTACTTTGGTTATTAGGTCATTAGCTCATTCCAGAAAGTTCACATTAACTTTATAAAAATGAAACACTACCAAGAATTTTAAATGTTTCCTGCTACATTACATAAAACCACTTTTTTCTACTGAACAGGTTTGTGGGGAGGGGGTTTGTCTGGAAAATGCTGACATTAATTTTGAAAACTATTCCTCTGCTCAGATTTCTTCATAAGTCCTGTAGGGTTCAGTCCTGGAACCACCCAGAGGAAAACAGAAGGAGCACAGGAGTGATGGGTGACAGGAGTTCAGAGGCTGGTTTCTGAACTGCCCAAAAGTGTCTGGAATGAAGGTAAGACAGGATTCAATTCTGAACTAATGTGGTTGAGCAACTGACTGGTTTTAAGCTGCTGAAATAGCCTAATTTCAGGACTCTCTTTGGCTCTGGGTTAAACTGTTCTGTGCTAAAAGTGTGCTGTCATGTAGGTTATCTCAGCTTCTCAAATTCAGTTTCAGGATGCACCTAGAACACTAATATATTTCAAGAAGTGAATAATACATTACAAGGATATAACTTTTAGGTTATAGATAAAATTACCAGAAAACAGGGGCTGAAAATTTGAGATTCCTAAGCAATAAGAAAATTCAACAGTAGAAAGCACAGCAAAAGGTGCAAACATCTAAGAAGCATTTACTTAAGAAGAGGCATACACAAATGTGATCAAGTCAAGACTGCCATAGGAACATTCAGATTTTCTGGCTCATGGATGTTCAGTCTTGAAGGCTTTAGTTTAGGAGCTCTCATCAGCCCGTTAGAGAAATTTTTATTGAGTATTGCACAATCAACAAATCCACTGTTTGCATAATTTCATTCTACAAAAATTCTGCGTTGAAATCTTTGCTGAAAAGAATTACTTAAGCCAAAAGCATCCAGCACTGATATGGATAATGATAATTACAAATTCACAAATATCAGACTACAACTTATACTGTATACCCAACTGATACTTACACACAGTCATTTTGTCAGAACACTAATTCTGGATTAAGAAATTCTCCAGCCACTTCTTAAAATTTAAAAACTCAACATAAACTCAATTTCTGTGACAACTGGGAAACATGCTATGCAAAGTGCCACCCCTAAATATGAAGAGAAGGACTTCTTGAGTCAAATCAAAGATACTACAGCTGTGTATTTTCTTATATTAAGGGTATACCTTGATCCATCAGTGTGCTGAATTAAAGACTTTGTACAGTACCAGCAAATACTTTAATTTCTATTAAGGAGTGACCCCAGATACTACAGCAAGGGTAAACACAGCTCCAATATGAAGAAATTATTCTTCACTTTAAGTAAATTTACAAACATCCAGAAGAGTTCAGAGAAGCTTGCTAGAAAAGGATGTTCTCCTGATGAGGAAAATTCAGTATTTCTCTTCTAGATTTAAAACAATGCTCGACAAATACAGTTTACTAAATGAAGAAAACAGTGCTTTCCACATGCAGCAGATTTCATGATATGGTATCTAATCAATTTGGCTGGTCATTACAAAGGGCTGGAGGAAATCCCTGAGAGTATTCAGTACAAAATTTGTGGTATCTCCACCACACCACAGAACAATCAAGCATTACAAAGCCAAACATCCAGCTTTTACACTGTAACCATAAAAAGGGACCAGTAACTGGCATTCCCAGGTATGTACTACAGCTCTTCCATTTGTCTGACACCAGGAAATCAGGTCTTTACTTGTAGACAAGTAATGCAAAGTATTGGGAAGAAAAAAAAAATATCAAGGCAGTTACACCTCCAATTGTCAAAGTAGACTACTGTTTCAGACATTCAAGCTGTGTGTGTCACCTCTCAAGGGGTCAATCTCCAAGAGCAGGCCTTCCTGCTCTGCATCTCCCTAAGCTGATGTAAGCTTGGGAGCACCAAAACCCAACCGACACACTGAAGTCTGTCAAAACTGCCCAAGGATAAGGAATAGGTGAGAAAGCAAAGGCAGTACTTTTAAGAATTCTTACCTTATGTGGGTCAAGCAAGAAGTCACTAAATTTACTGGGGAGAGAGTACTTTTTCACTAACACATCCTCCACTACCCACGGGGCATTCTCACACGTGCCGGCCCGTAGCGCATTATGACGGATGAAGTACCTCAGGATCTCCTTGTTGGGAGGACGCTCTGTACGGACTAAGCTATCTGCTGGTACATTGCTGATGATCTTTGGAGATAACAGACACACTGTTAACATTTAACTTCTAACCACATTATAAATATAAATCATATCGCTAAAAGGAGCAAGGACCATTGTACTGCTTCATGTCCACAAACATGGACTTGCTTTTTCAAAACTCTCTTGCAAAGACTCAAAACCAATCAAACAGAACCTGCAGAATAGAGATGCCCAATAGACTGGTAGGAGATTCAGTCAGACAAAAAAAAAAAAAAAAAAAAGTAAAACATGTCAGTATGTTGCAGATTTCTTGCCAAAGCCCACTGCTTTATCTCTGACCTTCCTCCAGCTTGTGCTTCCTACTAACTTAAAACCTTTTAGATATTAATGTTTATTTTGCTTTGATTTTTTTCCCTGAGACCAGAGGAGTAACTCTGCAAGCAATACTCATTAAATGGAGGTCAGCACTGCCTCTCCTGTTAAATTAGTGAACAGATGACAAAACGCACATAGTGCTGCAGCTACACAGAGCTTCCCAACGCGCAGCCAACTGCAACTTAGAGAAGCTCAGTTAGAAGAGCAGAGACTGACACTCATGATTTAACTAACCTACCTCTGACCAAGTTTCATTAGCTGCCTGACCTGAGACTGGCCAGTTAACAGCAACCCCTTTAAAGCTACTGTAGCACTGTGACTCAGTGTGGTACCAGGGAATTTTCAGGTGTCTCCACACACAAAACCCAGTGCTATAGAGAAAAAGCCAGGCCAGTCAGCCTCACAGACAACTACAGTCATCCTGCTTCCAATACCATGATGTTGGCAGGAAGCACTACATTGTGCTGTATAGATACAGTGTCAGTGGTTACTTAATTAAACTTGCATATTCATGTTATAAGAGAAAGGGTTCAAGCAGACAACTCACCTTATCTTCATTTTTCAGCTTGACGTCATATTTGTGTGGCAGAAATTTAGGTGGAACCCACTTCCTTTCTTCCTTCTTCAAAGAAGTGGGAAGTTTCCGAGGAGACCTACGTGCCCGATCATCTGATAAAGCAAGGTAAGACATTAAGTGTCTATTAGTATTAGAGTTCAAAGAATCCACTGGACTGGACACCCCACCCCTTGCTATCTGTACAGTGTTTGGTTAAACTACAACATCATTGGGAAAAAATTCCCAAATTGCGTTTCAAAAATATCCTGAAGATGCAGGCTGGGAATGGAGTCCCTAAACAGCTCTGAAGCAGGAGGCAGCACTTATCTTCAAGGAGTATAAAGGACCACTTGCAGTATTTAAACTCATCTCTCTACAGACAGTAAGTTGCAACCACCTATGCAAAGGGAGAAAATGTCTATAAAATTCATAAAGTGGAGACAGGTTTCAATAACCTAACCAGTAATCTGCTTAGGGAGCTCCTGCTGAGAGCCCTAGCTGTCTCTGCCATGCCATATTCAAAACATTCTACTGCAGGAATTGCTGACTCTAAATTAAAGTAACTGTTAAAATCATTTAACTTCAGTGGCCGTTGAGTGTTTAACAGTTATAAGCCCTGTGTGCATGGGCTAGTTTAGCTGGGCATTTTAAGCATACTTATACAACCAGTCCTTTTATTCTCAAAGAAATGTAACTGAAAGAGTACAAAGGCATCACACCTTCCTGCTAGCTGGTGTCAAGCTATTATTTCTATAGTCAGGTTGCAAATGTTGATCATTTAATACAAAATCCAATCTTACTGAAGAAAGCAATCCCCAAACATTTTTACATTTGTGGCTACAGGTCAAAGAAAACACTAAAGCAAGCACAACAGATGTGCATGCAGAATGCAAGTAGATGCTAGACCGAAGTCATACTTAAATATATATGTATCTATCTCATTGTCACATTGTAAACCCTATAGCATTTAAGCTTCAGTAGCATTATAGCTTACATGGTATAAACCCAAGTTCTGTCCCCTTCATCTTCCAAAATCAGTCCCCTCAGTTCAGTAGCAGATCACAGATGCCAGGGGCTTGCTGCACCACATACAGAAATGTGCAGCTACTTCCCATATTAGTGCTACATTTCAAATAATGCAATGTAGAACCCTCTGCTCCAGTAGTGATAGTAATGATAGTAGTATTGATAGTATGAAAAGTGATTAATTCTCTCATTGCAAGTAAGACTGAGACAGAAATTTTGCCTGCTTTGGTTCCACATTTGTATTAAAAAAATCCTGCTAAGTTCACAAATAATGAATTATGTTTTTCTGCTTCAACAGCACAATGGAAATCGCATTCAAGCTCTGTAAAAGATCTGCCTTCAGCGATCTGCCTCAATGTCTTTTAAGCAGCGTTATGCTATCCTTGCCAGATGCATATACTACGCATAGCAAGTTTATCTTTAATAAATAATGATGTGTTGCTCAGCCCTGGCTCTGAGTTTGCAGGCCTTGGTTACACTGCTGCCTCTGCAACAGGCCTGGAAGCAACCTCTCCTTTTGTGATTTACTTTCTAGATTCTAGAAATAGGGATGACGATGCTGAATTCCATCAAACAACACTGGGATACTCAGGAGTGTGGAAGAAGAAATCACTATACATTCCTTCCTGAAGTATGTTTTTTTGTAAAATAACTTGTTTTTTATTACAATACAATGCAACAAACACATTCACTACCCTACTGGAACCTCATGAAGGATCCATATGCTATTGTCTCCTCCTATTCACCACTTATTTTGGTTTCTCCAAAGCAGTATTAGTTCCAAGCACCTCTCAAGGTGCAGAACCTGCCTTTAGTAATTCACCAACTGTTTTCAAGAAAAACTACCCTTCCCTCTCACTTCTGCAGATTTTTCCAGAGTTCACTGCTAAGCAACTAAAAATACAAAGCCACTTCAGACTGCACATACAATGCAAAAAAAGCTGGTATAAAACCTTATTTTCAGCTTCTGAAGCACAGTCGACTCCTAACCAGAGAATGAAGCGCTCTTTCTCTGCCCCTTTTTTCCTCCCACAAAATCAGCAAGTTTGACATAGGAAAACTGCTAAGGTTAACTCTGCCCCCTCGTGTGTGCACAGAAAGGTACAGCTCTTACATCACACACGGTTACGCAGAGTCTGCTATTGCTTCTAAATACTCACTCCACCCATATTACCAGTGGTCAAGTATGCTATTAGAAAGAAAATGTCAAAGTAAGTGTGGCTAGGTACCTCCAGATACTGTACACAGCCTCCAGCAGGTGTAGTTCTGAGCCTGAACCCACTAAATGAAAGCCAGTCTTCACTACTCCTGTAGTCTGCTGCATAAATGTAACAAATGCTACACAGTTATTGTAATGGACTCCAGAATATAGCTTCACTAATGAGTTTACTGTGAACTCATTATATTATATAGCTCATTCTATTATAACCCAGAATATAAAAGCATTAGCAGTAAAATATCCTTTTAATAAATCCCTGTGTAGACAGAGAAGAGTTAAAAGAATGAGTGCTTATTGCTTTTACTGATTATGACTCTGCTAACATCTTTGATTTGAAAACACTGAGGTTCATCTTTTACAGAAGGGGTAGAACAGTCCCAGTTTACAGGCCAGATAACCAGCTGAGTCAGAGACTGAGAAAGGCACAGGAATCCCCATTCCTGCAGTGTTCTTCCAATCTCAGAGTGCTGGACTAGCAAAGTCAGCAAGAGCACAGCTGAACACAGCTGGTTAGAACACTGCACACCAATGAACAAAATGTCATGGTAGACTTTACCAAAACACCCAAGCCCAAAATAGCTGCTGTAAATTTGGTCAACAAGCATTTTAAAAGTAAAAGGTACTTTCCATGCCTTTCAACTAAAAAAAAAGAAATAAAATCATGCATCGGTCCTTCTCCAAGCACTACTACTGTTTCAAATGATGAATATAAGTCCAAATTGTTACAGAAACACCTTTATTTCCTTCCTGGTTATACAGAGTACTGCCATGAAATCAAAACAGCTCATAACTTTTTCCAGTACCAATCAGAAACAGTTAACAATTATTAAGCTTGGGACTAGAGCTTGATGAAACTTGTTTTCCAGTCCTGACTTTGCTATTAGCTTGTTGGGCTGTTTTCTGAGTTTCCCCTTCTCCCTATCAGAGGTTACTTTTCCAGATGTTGGAGTGGCTATTTACAAATGTAAGCAGTTTATTACCTTTATGTACCTTTAAAATTAAGCTATCTAGATGAAAGTTGTGCTGTGGGGTTGGGGTGGTTTTTTGGTTTTAATACATTTTTTGAAATCTCTTTTAAAGAATCTTATAATTCCATCTTTAAGAAGTTACATAGGACAAGAAACTGATTTTTTTTTTCCTCTTTCAACAGTACCTTCTCAGAGTCAAGAAAAGTCTTGGACATCCACTGTTTAGTTCTGCAGCAAGGAGGAACAGATATGAAAGAGGGGAACAATGTTTCAAAGCATGTTTTAATTTGAACCCTTAGCAAAAAATTAACATGTATTCTTCTGCATGAATTTTGTTTCAACACTTGGAAAGGGGATAAACCAAAATAAATTAAAAACCACCTTATTTTTTATGTCAGCTGGGGCCATGAAAGGGAATTAGAGCTTGTCTCTGACTCAAGAACAACAGGCTGTAGGACTACAGATGTTTGCTCCAAGGATGAACATCACAAGACTTTATGAATTTTTGCTGTTGTCCCCCCACCCCCCCGTTGTTTTTTTTTTTGTTTTGTTTTGTTTGTTGTTTTTTTTTTTTTAAATACACTTATTCTACTTCCAAAGCTTATACGTTCCATGCAGAGCTTTAGGTATTACACCTTAGAATGACAACACGTGCTCCGCTTTAGAACAGGCAAGAACAGTTGAAAGCCAACAGCACTGATGCCACCAAAACTGCACCACTAATGGACATTTCAGGATTTTCAATATGTAACGCTTTTTAAGCATCACATATAACATCCGCAGCCTAGTCTTAAGATGTACATAAATTCAAATACTCACTTCCAGGTGCTACCTACTGGCATGCTGTCCTACTACTTACTCATACTTTCCCTCCTGTTGTCATCTTCCTTCAGGATAGCTTCCTTCTGGTTGTCCTGAGCTGCCTGGCTGGAGTTCTCCTTGTCACTGGATGGGGAATCACAGGCTCCATCAGATTTCTTTTCTGAGGCCTCTTCATCAACTTTCTCCAGGGGATGTATTTTCACAACTTTCACAGGCAACATTTTCTCCTTACCAACCTGCACACAAATATTGATGAAAACTGAACCTGTTTAACACTATGAGGAAGGAAAAAAAAGCAGCTAAGAACCTACTGTAATTTGGCAAAACACTTAATTGACATCCTCCTTGCAAGTAGCTCATGATCCCTCTCATGAAACAATTACAGGATTTCTTTCTACCACTCCTACCTGGAAGTTCTGTACAAACTGCTAAGAAAGAGAGAACTGCCAACCCCTAAGTTTTTCCAGTGTTTAATAATGCTTCTTTCTCAGCCTAAGAAAGAATGTGTGTGCAAGGTGCAAGTGTGCTCTCTCAGCAACCCCAGTTGAGAGAGTATGTGCTGAACAGATTGCTGACCGATAACATTTTATAACCTTCTCTTATTTTCAACACATTTGAGTCTTCCCCATCATTCTCAGTTTTGGAGGGAATTTTCTAATCATTGGAGCATCGTTACAGGTTTGCAAGCAGTTGACTTCAAGCTACATTAGTTTAAGACTAAAAATATGTATTTTTATACATATTTAAATAAATACACAGACCATCACATATTTAAGCAGTGTAACAAGCGTATCTCCAATTCCCCACGCACACACATAGATCAGTCATTTTTCTCTTGCCATCAGTATGGGTCATCCACGTGCTTCTGCTTATGGAACTGTTTTGCATTCAAAAGCAGGTGCTGTCACTGGGATTCTACAGAAAAGAAATTCTCACCATCTTTCTAATAATGTAAGCGGCTAACATTCTTCCCATCTTCTGCTTTTAGATGTCCAAAATTAGCTCTGTGCAAAAGCATGGGATAAAATGGAAAACAGATCCTTACCTCAAAGTCACACTCTTCTCCCACTGCAAATTTGGTCATGATCTCCAGCCAAGCTGCATCCACCAACTTTTCCAAAGATACAGTGTTGTGGTGGACTATTTCCAGTACCAGTTTCTCATACCAGATGGGGAACTCCTCCTTCAAGCTGAGCAAACCCATAAGAAGTTTTCATTATTCAGGGAATAAAAGCCAAAATGCAAAGTAGCCTCCCATTTCGAAATTCTGGGAACATTAACAGCCAGGACAATGTTTGAGGCAGATGCCACATTAGCATGCAAACATCCAAGGGCTTTTTGCTGCCCTCCCCCCAGCACCCCCCAACGTGTTAATTGGCATGACAATACAAATTGTACTTGTCCTTCCCAGAAGGAACACCATAAAGCATTCTGAAAAAGCAGCACTGACTATGAACCCTTTCTTGCTGGTTATTACTGTCTCTCTGGTAGATGTTAAATATATACCAAGACCATGTCATTATTGTGGGGCTCGTTACTTTAAAATTTTTGCTTCCAACAATAACACGATGCTGATGAACATGTAGCAGTCTGGGAAGAAAGAAATGCTAACACAGTAAAGAAGATAGAGGCAGGCTTACACAATCAAATTATCTTTCCAGACAAAAATATTTTGTGTGTTTCACTATGTCATGATCTTCAAACTTTTTTATTTAAAGAAGAGAAAGGACTGCTAAAAATTTACCTGACTGATTTCCTTTCCAAAAAGATCAAGTCAGCTAGCTTATAAGAGTACTAAGAAATATACTGCATAAAGCTTTCTGGCTAAAAAGTAAAGTCCGTTTCAAGTTACTGTAAAGAGGAATAAAATACTCCCTTTTTCCAAAACTCTTTTAGCTTCCCAGCCTCAGGGATCCATTGCTGACAATCCTCAGCTCTATTTGCTGTTCTACAACTGCCATGAACAAATTTATCCCATTAGCAAGCTGCCTAAATGAACCTTTTTTTTATTCAGACTAGTGTCAGGTATTAAAGCAGCCAGCAAACTGCCTGGGAAGCTTTTAATCCCATTTCAAAGAGACAAGACCAAAATCTCACTTCACTGAGCCTTTTTTTCCCCCACATTTAGATAGACTATAGCTAAATTTGCTATTGAGAAATCTTCCATTTATATTTCATTTACATTTCTTAATGTTTTCCGAAGTGGCCATCCAACCCAACATTGTTAATCAAAAGTAAATCAACACTAGACCAATGCTTTTTGACTCAGAATTATAAATTTACAGAGCTGGCTCTGCACTCTCCTCTCAAACAAGAACACTAGGAGGAAAGACTGAAGACAATGGCACTTCAACTCTAATAGAAATTAGCACTATTAGCAAATAGGTTTATTTGTGCCTTTAAGGATGTGATTAACCTCAAATGATGGGGAATTTCTTCATAGGCTAAGGCTATTAACTCTTGCCAGTGATTCAGACAAGCGGATTCTTCATGAAAGAGAGGAAGCAGAAAATTTAACCTCCTAGGTAGCAGTACTGCTGATAATCTCCCCAGTCTGAATCCAGGAAAAATAAAGTCACAAGTCCAAGTCATTAGTTCACAGAAAAAAGAAACATCCCATTTGTTTGGCATAATTCCTACAATTTGGTAATCACAAAGTTATATATGTTGGTTGAGCCAAGGACTTGCACGTTTATAGAAAATTCACTTCTATGGGAAGGGTCATGCTGGATCTCAACCAAAGATTCCAGGCCTGTGCTATGTGCTGGAGGGGGAGGTCAGGGACACAGCAGCCCAGAGGAATACTAGTGGTCTGAACCTCTGTTCTGGTTTCTCTTTGTTCTTTAGTGTTCCCAGTAGAGCAGATCCCCCCCAAAATCTCACTCCAATATAATCTTTTTTAGTACAACAACTGATTCCAGTGCAGATCTCCAAAAAATAATTACAGTTGTGGACCTGACTGATGTGAAACACTTCAACAGCCTCTTTTTACTGTATTTTTACTTTAGCTCCTCCAAGATTTATTTTTTCCCCCCTCTGAAAAATTCCCATTACTCAAGGGGCTTTAAAATACGCCAAGTACCATATGCTGAACTATTTTGGTTGAAGTAATACCAAGATACAGCACTAAATAAGTACATTACCCAACTGCATTAGTGATGGCATCAAATTTGTACTTGATTTGCTTTCAGCTCCAGAATGCCCAGATCTACTTATAGCCAGTAAAAAGCTACTTACCTCACCTCATAAACTAGCAATCACATATCATTCCCAAATCCACTCTTCTGCCCCAATGCCTAAAGATAGACACATACCGATTTCTTTACTGGTACTTACAGCTCAGCAACTTCCTGCTCCTCCTCCCAAGCCTCTTTGTGCGTCAGTTGGCTGCTTCCTGTGCTTTTGCACGTCCATATTCGTTCGCTGTACCTCTCTAAACGTGCTTCGTACTCTCTGTAGAAGTGGCAGCTCAGGAAAACAGGATTTATGCAGTGGAGAGCATTATCACAGCAGCACAAGATGATCAAATTCAATTAAACCCTGACTAGTGGAGTGCACAAAGACTGAGGATTGCTACAGTACAGTCTGATCCTGTGCCTACCATAGAGATGCTGTGTTAAATCCAAAAGGTTTCCAGACCAGGATGTGCTGGAGCCTTCTGCAGCTGAAAAGCCTGTCCTGTTCAGCACTGACATACAGAAGGTGCCACAGCACCATCCATTCAGCTGAACTGCACATGGCTGAACATTTTCATGGCATCACCAAGTTAGTTTTCAGCTTTTCAGTCTGATTCACTGGAAAAGAGCATGAACACTATCACAGGCACACACAGGAGACATGGCACAGACTGCCACAAAATGCCCCACAATAACTGTAGAGGAACTAATACTACTAATGCCTTTGTGTGGTGTTACAAACTCTGGATGCAAATTACCAGTCTACCCAGAACCCCCAATCTTTTGAGGAAAAAACCCAAAAGCTTTAAAACTGAAATCCCTAGAAAGGCCACCTCTCCTTTGGTTTCCAACAAGAGCAGCCTCCTGCATTAGCACAACATGAGGATCTTTCTCACCAACTACATCCCCTGCTTCCTGTATCACAACTGGTCTCAAGGTTAAGTTATTCTTGCCATTAGGATTAATGGGTGCACAGACAAGTCACCGTGGTGCAGACAGCATTATCAATTACAGCATTAGCTACTCTGGTGTAAGCACCTCTGGCTGTGCTCTACCTGGTCCACCTAAGTAGTAATTAACTGTCAGTGTAAACAGAAACCACTTCATACTTTCTATGGATAGAATGCTTACAGGCACAATTATCAGAAAAGCTAGCACAGTGTAAATCCATACCAATTTACCCACTGGCAGCTTGCTTAAGTTGTCGTATGCTTACTGATGGTAATATAACTGGAGAAATTATAAGAGGCAAGAAAAGCATCTTTCCCTTCTTCAGCATGCTCTCCAGCAGAAAAGCCAGCAGAGAGCACAAAGCAGACTTGTAACAGCTACAGCAGCTCAGCCCGCTGCAGCACAAGTGCTAATTATGAGTCTCTGTGGGAACAAGTAGATTGCTTCACACTCCTGCGAAGGCAGAGCCACCAGGCACAGCAAATCACTCATAGTATCCTGTATATGCTTTGTCTTTCAAGAAAATTTTAGTGCAACTAACCTATTCCTTTTTTAAAGATTACTGTTAGGAAGGCAAATTACAACCCCAACAAAACCAACTAGCTTGGACTTTTCTTTACAGCCTCAAGGTAAAGCATAAGGCGGCACAGAAGCTGCACTGTGGACGCTGATATACAGGTATCTTACAGCCACAGCAACTGGTGCTATGCCAGAATAAAAGCCGGAACAAGCTGCCTCCAGAGGAGACTGCTACTGCCGACAGTACCCCTCTGCCTAGAGCAGCTCTGAAGACCAAGCAGAAATCCTGAGGTGCCCTACTTGGGGAGTGTCCTGCTCTTCAGCAGACAAACAGCTATCCGGCAAGTTATCACACCAGTAAGTTTTGAGCCCTCCGGCCAATTCTTGCCCCTCCCTGACATTTCAAAGATGCTCAAGTTTCCACAGAAAGGAGAGATGCTACAGGGCAGGGGCAAGAAGTGCCATCACTGTGGTGGGGCAGTGGCAGGGAGTAACCACAGTTCATAGAGGAACTCATCTGTGCAGCACCACTGACCAGACCAGAAGTGTGATTTTAATAAGTTTTTGTAATGGTACT